ACCTCCAACGTCACGTGGCTGGCATGACTGTATGAAGTGTCGTTACCTTCTCGCAAAAGCAGTATCTATTGATCTACTCACATTTGCATTTTTTCGAACTGCTAGGTTGGCAGAAGCTAGGGCTAACAGCGGGAGCTCACTCCACTCCCCGGATTCAAACCGCCAACCTTTTGGTCAGCTCATCAGTTTAATCCAATGCACCACCAGGGAGCCCGGGATGCATACACACAAAGGAATTAATCCTGTTTGACCCTACTTTGGCTGCCATGGCTCAATGCTATGGAATCATGAGAGCTATAGTTTGCCTTCTCTGACAAAGGACAACTCCCAGGATCCCAATTAAAGGGGAAATAACCAGCATTAATTCCACGGTGTAGCTGCACCAAATTACATTCCAGGTTTATTTATTTATTTGTCGTGTCAGGGCAACCAGTCAATTATATTACATTTCTAACAGAACAAAGCAAACAAACAGACAAAATACAAAATTTTGTGAGTTTGGTAGTTGATTAAATGTCCTTTGACCAGTAGCTGGCCACTTGGAGTGCTTCTGGTGTTGCTGCGAGAAGGTCCTCCATTGTGCATGTGGCAGGGCTCAGATTGCATTGCAGCAGGTGGTCAGTGGTTTGCTCTTCTCCACACTCGCATGTCGTGGATTCCACTTTGTAGCCCCATTTCTTGAGGTTGGCTCTGCATCTCATGGTGCCAGAGCACAGTCTGTTCAGTGCCTTCCAAGTTGCCCAGTCTTCTGTGTGCCCAGGGGGGAGTTTCTCATTTGATATCAGCCATGGATTGAGGTTCTGGGTTTGAGCCTGCCACTTTTGGACTCTCACTTGCTGAGGTGCTCCAGTGAGTGTCTCTGTAGATCTTAGAAAACTATTTCTAGATTTAAGTCGTTGACATGCTGGCTGATACCCAAACAGGGGATGAGCTGGAGATGTCACTGCCTTGGTCCTTTCACTATTGGCTACTACTTCCCGGCGGATGTCAGGTGGTGCAATACCGGCTAAGCAGTTTAATTTTTCCAGTGGTGTAGGGCGCAGATACCTCTTGATAATGCGGCATGTCTCATTAAGAGCCACATCCACTGTTTTAGTGTGGTGAGATGTGTTCCACACTGGGCATGCATACTCAGCAGCAGAGTAAGTAGCACAGCGCAACGGCAGATGTCTTCACTGTGTCTGGCTGTGATCCTGAGGTTGTGCCAGTCAGCTTTCGTAGGATATTGTTTCTGGCACCCACTTTTTGCTTGATGTTCAGGCAGTGCTTCTTGTAGGTCAGAGCACGGTCCAGAGTATTTGGGTGTGCTGCAATGCTCCAGTGGGATTCCTTCCCAGGTCATCCTCAGTGCTCGGGATGCTTGTCTGTTCTTAAGGTGAAAGGCATATGTCTGTGTTTTAGATGGGTTGGGGATCAGCTGGTTTTCCCTGTAATAGGCAGTAAGAGCACCTAGAGCTTCAGAAAGCTTCTGTTCAACCATCTCAAAGCTCCCTGCTTGAGTGGGGGACATGAGAGAAGCCTCCTCGCAGGATTGCAAGACATCCGAGTGTCCCCTGGGCAACATCTTCGTAGACGGCTGATTCTCTCGCCACAGAAGCGACCAGCATGCAAGCAAGCAAGCAAAACATTCCAGGTTGTAGCACTACTATTCCATTTTAACTACCATGACAAAAGCCTATGTACACCTAGGATGCATAGTTTAGCCAAGGGCATTCAGAAAGCTCTAGTCCAGTGTTTCTCAACCTGGGGGTTGAGACCTCTGGGGAGGTAGCAAGAGGGTGTCAGAGGGGTTGCCAAAGACCATCAGAAAACACAATATTTTATGTTGGTCATGGGGGCTCTGTGTGGGAAGTTTGGTCCAATTCTTTTGTTGGTGGGGTTCAGAATGCTATAGGTGAACTATAAATCCTAGCCACTATAACTCCCAAATGTCAAGGTCTATTTTTCCCAACCTCCACCAGTGTTCACATATGGGCATATTGAGTATCTGTCCCAAGATTGGTCCAGATCCATCATTGTTTGAGTCCACAGTGCTCTCTGGATGTAGGTGAACTATAACTCCAAAACCCAAGGTCAGTGCCCACCAAACCCTTCCAGTATTTTCTGTTGGTCATGGGAGTTCTGTGTGTCAAGCTTGGTTCGATTCCATCGTTGGGGGAGTTCAGAATGGTCTTTGATTGTAGGTGAACTATAAAGCACTACTACTCCATTTTAACTACCATGGAAACAGCCTATGTACACCTAGGATGCGTAGTTTATCCAAGAGCATTCAAAAAGCTCCAGTCCATCACTGAACTACAACTCCCAGTATTCTACAGAAGGTTGCCAATGGCAGATGAACCGGAATGATAGCACTATATAGTATCATTTGTATATTTGTTCAGTCGCTTCCGACTCTTCGTGACCTCATGGACCATTCCACGCCGGAGCTCCCTGTCAGCCATCACCACCCCCAGCTCCTTTAAGGTCAATCCAGTCACTTCAAGGATACCATCCATCCATCTTGCCCTTGGTTGGCCCCTCTTCCTTTTTCCTTCCATTTTCCCCAGCATCATTGTCTTCTCTAAGCTCTCCTCTCTTCTCATGATGTGGCCAAAGGACTTCATCTTGGCCCCTACTATCCTTCCCTCCAATGAGCAGTCGGGCTTTATTTCCTGAAGTATGGGCTGACTGGATCTTCTGGCTGTCCAAGGTTCTCTCAGAACTTTCCTCCAACACCACAGTTCAAAAGCATCTATCTTCCTTCGCTCAGCCTTCCCTATGGTTCAGCTCTCACATCCGTAAGTGACTACGGGAAATACCATTGCTTTGACTATGCAGATCTTCATTGCCAGTATGATGTCCCTACTTTTCACTATTTTATCGAGATTGGTCATTGCTCTCCTCCCAAGAAGTAAGTGTCTCCTGATTTCCTGGCTGCAGTCTGCGTCTGCAGTAATCTTTGCACTTAGAAATACAAAGTCTGTCACGGCCTCCATGTTTTCTCCCTCTATTTCCCAGTTGTCAATCATTCTTGTTGTCATAATTCTGGGTTTGTTTTCTTTGTTTGTTTAACTTCAACCAACTTTTGCACTTTCTTATTTCACCTTGGTTGGAAGGCTCCTCAGCTCCTCCTCGCTTTCAGCCATCAAGGTGGTATTATCTGCATATCTAAGGTATATAGCAGGGGTCCTCAAACTAAGGCCCGAGGGCTAGATACAGCCCTCCAAGGTCATTTAACTGGCCCTCACTCAAGGTCAATCTAAGTCTGAAATGACTTGAAAGCACACAACAACAACAACAACAACAACAACCCTATCTGATCAGCCAAAAGCAGGCCCACACTTCCCATTAAAATACTAATAAGTTTATATTTGTTAAAATTGTTCTTCATTTTAATTATTGTATTGTTTTTAAGTGTTTTCTTGCACTACAAATAAGATATGTGCAGTGTGCATAGGAATTCATTCATGCTTTTCTCAAATTATAATCTGGCCCTCCAACAGTTTGAGGGACTGTAACCTGGCCCTCTGTTTAAAAAGTATATAGTATCACTAGCTGTCCCGTGCCATGCGTTGCTGTGGCCCAGTCTCGTGAGCTGGAAAAGAAAGTAATGGATTCTAATCTATGTAATTTCTTTATGCTTGTAGGTAAACAATATTTCTTCTTGTTTCTTTGTCAGTGTTGATGTGGAGAGTGTCTGGTTTGCCTACTCTGGAATATGCAACATATCACTGTCCTTCTTTAGGGGTCCCTTTCAAATCTATGATACTATATCTCTGTGTGTCAATCATATCTACCTATCTATGGCTGGATAGCTCTTTGTCAGGAGGGCTTTGATTAGATTTTCTTGCCCTGGTGAAGGGAGTTGGACTGGATGGCCTTAAGTATTTTGTGTTGGTCATGGGGGTTCTGTGTGGGAAGTTTGCCCCAATTCTGCCGTTTGAGGGGTTCAGAACGCTCTTTAATTGTAGGTGACCTATAAATCCCAGTAACTACAAATGTCAAGGTCTATTTTCCCCAAACTCCATCTGTGTTCATATTTGGGCATATGGAATATTCGTGGCAAGTTTGGTGCAGATCCATCATTGTTTGAGCCCAAAGTGCGCTCTGGATGTAGGTGAACTACAACTCCCAAACTCAAGGTCAATGCTCACCAAACCCTTCTAGTGTTTTCTGTTGGTCATGGGAGTCCTGTTATACCACATTTGGTTCAATTCCATTGTTCGTGGGATTCAGAATGCTCTTTGATTGTAGGTGAACTATAAACCCCAGCAACTACAACTCCCAAATGACAAAATAAAAAAAATTGAGTGAAGGACATACATTGGGTTGTTAGGTGTGTGCTGTCCAAATTTGGTATCAATTGGCCCACTGGTTTTTGAGTTCTGTTAATCCCACAAACATTACATTTTTATTTATATAGATATGATCAGGCAATTCAAGATGCTGCTTGAATATTTTACATTTCTTCTTTGGCCTCTTCCACACAGATGCCTAAAATCCACATTTAACTGGATTATATGGCAGTGTGGACTCAGATAATCCAATTCATAGCAGATATTGTGGATTATCTGCCTTGATATTCTGGGTTATATGGCTGTGTGGAAGGGCCCTTCTTCTCTTTTTATGCTACAGTGCTCTATAGTCCTATGGGCAAAGGACCAGAGCTCCAAACATGTGCCTGCTTCCAACTGATTACATCAATGCTTCTTCCCTCCACTTCCGCGTCTCAGTGCCATCAATTGGTGCCACGCATCCAATCGAGAGCACGGTTTCGCCTTCCTTTCCCCGCCCCTTGTAGTGATTGGCTGATCTTCCTAGTCGTCTAGTAGCGATATACCCAAATTTATATCCCAATGATTGGTTGCCTCCTCCAGATTGGAGAGTAGTGATTGGCTATATCTCATCTCGACTCAATTGGCTGTTCCCTCGTCAGGTTTATACTGATTGGCTGCGCCTCCGACCGGCTCGTAGCGATTGGCTCCTGTTCCTCCCTCCCGCCCAATAGGTGAGGGGGCTTCTATCCTTGCCGGCCACCGTAGGGGGAGGTTTGGAACCCAAGATGGCAGCAGGACGTTCCATAGGTATTCACATTGACTTGAGGGGATGGGCTTGCATGGGGTGCTGAGATTCATATTATTCTGGAACGAGGAGAGGGGAAGTGGGTCTTAAAGGGTCCTCAAAGGGTCACCCAGGGCCTTTTAGGGTTGGACAACAGGTCCCATCATCCCTGCCTCAGCCCTGCATTGGGGAATAGTTGAAGGAGACCCCAAGAGCCATGCAACCCCCTTCTACCAGGTTAGAAAAGCACAATCAAAGCCCTCCTGATAGATGGCCATGCAGCCTGTGTTTGGAAGCCTCCTGAGAAGGCAACTCCATTGTGCTCTGAGGCAGTGTATTATTAATTATTGTTATTATTATTTTATTATTATTATTATTAAACTTTATTTGTACCCCGCTAGCATCTCCCGAAGGACTCGATGCGGCTTGCAAAGGCCGAGGCCTCAACACAACAACAACAGACAATAACAATACAATGCAAAACAAATTAAAAACATAAGCAATACCAGAACATTACACTATTACGCAATAAAACCAGGGCCGGGCCAATGAAGGGTACAGGTTAAAAAGTGCTGGGTGTGAGAGGTGGTATGTTGGAGTTCTGGGCAAGTGCAATGTGCAGAGAGTCTTAAACTAATAAAGTGCTTCTGGGACATGGTGCTGGGGGGTTGTCCTATTCTGGAAAGGCACATCGGAATAGCCAGGTCTTCAAGTTCTTCCTAAAGACTGCCAACGTGGGTGCTAGTCTAATGTCTTTGGGGAGGGTGTTCCAAAGTCGGGAGGCAACCACAGAGAAGGCCCTGTCCCTCGTACCCACCAAACGCGCCTGTGACGCAAGTGTATTCATAGAATCAGAGTTGGAAGAGACCTCGTGGGCCATCCAACTCCCGGCCAAGGAGCTGGAAAATTGCATTCAAAGGACCCCCGACAGATGGCCATCCAGCGTCTTGTTTAAAAGCCTCTAAAGAAGGAGCCTCCACCACAATCTGGGGAGTTCCACTGCTGAACAGCTCTCATAGTCAGGAAGTTATTCCTAATGTTCAAATAGTATCTCTTTTCTTGTAGTTTGAAGCCATTGTTCTGCATCCTAGTCTCCAGGGCAGCAGAAAACAAACTTGATCCCTCCTCCCTAGGACTTCCTCTCACGTATTTATACATGGCTATTATGTCTCCTCTCAGCCTTCCCTACTTCAGGCTAAACATGCCCAGCTCTTTAAGCCGCTCCTCATAGAGCTTGTTCTCCAGACCCTTGATCATTTTAGTCGCCCTCCTCTGGACACATTCCAGCTTGTCAATATCTCTCTTGAATTGTGGTGCCCAGAATTGTGGTGCCCAGAAGGCAACTCCATTGTGCTCTGAGGCAGTGTATTCATAGAATCATAGAGTTGGAAGAGACCTCGTGGGCCATCCAACTCCCTGCCAAGAAGCTGGAAAATTGCTTTCAAAGGACCCCCGACAGATGGCTATCCAGCGTCTTGTTTAAAAGCCTCCAAAGAAGGAGCCTCCACCACAATCTGGGGCAGAGAGTTCCACTGCTGAACAGCTCTCACAGTCAGTTATTCCTAATGTAGTTCTTTTCCTGTAGTTTGAAGCCATTGTTCTGCGTCCTAGTCTCCAGGGAAGCAGAAAACAAGCTTGCTCCCTCCTCCCTAGGACTTCATCTCACATATTTATACATGGCTATCATGTCTCCTCTCAACCTTCTCTTCTTCAGGCTGAACATGCCCAGCTCTTTAAGCTGCTCCTCATAGGGCTTGTTCTCCAGACCCTTGATCATTTTAGTTGCTCTCCTCTGGACACATTCCAGCTTGTCAACATCTCCCTACAATTGTGGTGCCCAGAATTGGACACAATATTCCAGGTGTGGTCTAACCAAGGCAGAATAGAGTATGGGTAGCATGAATTCCCAGGATCTAGACCAGGGATCCTCAAACTAAGGCCCAAGGGCCAGATACGGCCCTCCAAGGCAATTTACCCAGCTCTCGCTCAGGATCAACCTAAGTCTGAAAGGACTTGAAAGCACACAAGAGCAACAACAACAATCCTATCTCATCAGCCAAAAGCAGCCCCACACTTCCCATTGAAATACTAATAAGTTTATCTTTGTTAAAATTGTTCTTCCCGACTCTGGAACTCTCTCCCTAAGGACATCAGACATGCCCCAACGTTGGCTGTCTTTAGGAAGAGCCTGAAGACCTGGCTGTTCTAGTGTGCCTTCCCAGAATAGGAAACTCCTGGCTTCAAGTCCCAAACGCACTTTGTTAGAGATTCAGGATTATCTGCACATTGCACCTACCGCCAAATACCTCTATATATTACCTGTCAGGTTCAGCACTTTTAACTTTTGTCCATTACATTTGGCCCGGCCCCTAGGTTTTTAATTGCGTCACGGTGTCATTGTTTTACTGTTTTATTGTTTTGCTTGATGTTTGATTATTTACTTATGAGTTTTACTGTGTATTGTATGTCGTTTTTGTCGGCAGCCTCGGCCTTTGTAAGCCACATCGAGTTCTTCGGGAGATTTTGCGGGGTATAAATAAAGATAATAATAATAATAATAATAATAATAATAATAATAATAATAATAATTTTAACTGGTTTTTTTTTTTTGCACTACAAATAGGGGGCCAAATTATTATCTGGCCCCCTAAGAGTTTGAGGGACTGTGACCTGGCCCTCCGTTTAAAAAGTTTGAGGACCCCTGATCTAGACACTATACTCAGACACTATGATGCAGACCAAAATCTCATTGGCTTTTTTAGCTGCAGCATCACGTTGTTGGCTCATTTTTAACTTATTGTCCATGAAGACTCCAAGATCTTATTCATATATGTACTGCTCTCGAGCCATACGTCCCCCATTCTGTATCTTTGCAGTTCATTTTTTCTGCCTAAGTTGAGTATCTTGTATTTGTCACTGTTGAACTTCATTTTGTTCATTTTGGCCCATCTCTAATTCTATTGCCAAACAGTTCTTATGTGTGTATGTACATGGGCACACATGCTATATGTATATTAAATATTAAGATATATATAATGATGTGTAATTCGTGTAATGTATTACCTGTAGCTAAACATTCCTTTTTGAGATCAATGTGGTTTGCTTGTTGAAGGAAATATGACAGCAGGACCTGTTGTCAGGAGGGTACATATGAGGTTTGTGCATCTGAGAGGTGAAATATATACTTTCTGTATATATTTCAGATTTTAGTAATAATGTCAAAAAAATATGATTTTACATAGGATTTGTGCTACATTAGAACAGTAAAGACAAATATCACTTAAGTAAAATAAACATTAAATATTAAATAACCAGAAAAATAAAATAAGGTGCTAACACTAAACTAATCTGAGAATCTGCTATTGCAACACATCCAATGAAGTGGTTTAAAACTAGTATAAAAAAGATTAGGACTAAGTACTTTACTCCGTTGCTGATAGGCTCAGTTTCAGGGCTAATCCACAAAGCCATATAACTCAGAATATCAAGGCAGAAAATCCCACAATATCTTCTTTGAACTGGGTTATCGGAATCCACACTGCCATATATTCCAGTTCAAAGCAGATAATGTGGGATTTTATTCAGCTGTGTAGAAGAGGCCTCCGTAGGAGAAAGAAAATGATGTAGGGGGTGTTGTGTGTGTGAGTATATTTCTTGGATGTGAATCCTTAAGCCAGGGGAAAGTGGCCTTAGGACTCTGGAGTTTAGGTGGAGCAGCTTGTGAAGTTTTGAAATATTGACATTTTAATTTGATGATGAGATAAGTAGGAATTGTGAGCAGATTCATTTCTTTTTGGAAGCCTTTTGCTCATGGTTATATTTTCTTCTCAGACCGGTGACCCTGGCAGGGCGCCTCTAGTTCTGCCATGGCCAACAGTTCACCTCAGGTGCCTTCAGGGCAAAGGCAGAGGGTGGCCAAGTCCCAGCGCAAGCGGCCACAGAGCGTGGTGGCCTGGCAGAGCAAGGCCGAATGGGACCAAGTGATGGTGGGGCTTTACTGCGGAGACTGCCAGATGCAGCAAGCGGCGCTGGACCGAGTGTCTGTTTGGAAAAGCAGGTCAGTGGGGAAAGAGACAGAGTACATCTGAAAAGAGAGACTCCTTGAGAACAAGGGATGGAGGGACAGTCCTGCAAGTCCTAATAGTATATTTGCTGGCTTATCATAGACATATCATGCCTACCTTAAGCTGTAATGGTGCATCCATTCTCTGTTCTCAGTTCCAAACTCTTGATTTTAGTCATGGATGTAACCCAGGCACGGGCAAACTTCAACCCTCCAGGTGTTTGGACTTGATCTCCCACAATTCCTAAGAGCCGGTACCCTGTTAGGAATTGTGGGAGTTGAAGTCCAAAATACCTGGAGGGCCAAAGTTTGCCCACACCTGATGTAACCACTGTTTCTTTGAACACATTTTTTCTTTTGGCAATGTGAAGTTTTCCTGTAAGAATGAGAAGCTAGATATGCTTTCATATGATGTGTGGTATGGCATGACCTAGATGCCATTCGTCCATAATACTTTAGATAGACAGTACTTCCAATTTTAACCAAACTGACTTGAGAACATTCCCTGTGCTGTTCCAGTTAGTTCATTTCTCAACATCTCATCTGTTTCCTGTCTAGTGAGATATCTATCTGAAGGTTTTGTAATTTAGAGGGCTTTTCAAGTTTACACCTCTTGAATTTCAACATTATCCTCTATTACAGTGGTTCTCAACCTGGGGTCTCCAGATGTTTTGTACCTACAACTCCCAGAAATCCCAGCCAGTTTAGCAGCTGTTAGGATTTCTGGGAGTTGAAGGCCAAAAATATCTGGGGACCCCAGATTGAGAACCACTGCTCTACTGGATAATGCATATCCATTTTGTTTGCTGAGGAACCTCCATATCTGCAAGGAACAATTGAGAATTGCAGAAGTTGGAGGTATGTCCTTGGAATCAGTACACAGTCATTTTCTAGTTGAACCCAACAATCCCATGGAGTTGTGTCGATGTGCTATAGAACAGTGTTCACTTAGAGTGACAGTCTATGGACTGTTGCCTGACTGCCAGACTATGGGGATTTCCCAGAAAGAAAGAAACAGTTGGGCCCATTCAACACAAATATGGTACCAGTCCTTGACCCTTTGAGGGTTGGGAGAAATTGTCAATGTGGATGATATGTGATAAACAGTTTTCCCCTTTATGTGGAGCTACTCTTGACCTCGCTGTGTCTTACTCTTTGGAGCTAGATATGGACACAGGATGCCATTGGCTGTGGAATCCACTGCAGATCTGGTTCGGTGTAAACTTCTAGATGCCTCTGGCAATTTGAAGTCCCATGAACTTGTCCTCACATATGGCCTTGCTCTTGTCAGGTAAGGACTGTGGCAGGGAGAGGGAGGAAGGGGATGAGATTGGGAACAGTACTTTATTATTTTACCCTATTTGTTGTTGTTGTTATTGTTGTTATTATTATTGAGGCCTCATGGTGCAGTGGGTTAAACCCTTGTGCCAACAGAACTGCTGACTGAAAGATCAGCGGTTTGAATCCAGGGAGAGGTGGTTGAGCTCCCTTTGTCAGCTCCACCTCCCCATGCGGGGACATAAGAGAAGCCTCCCACAAGGATTTATTTTATTATTTCAAGCATTTTTACCCCGCCCTTCTCTACCCCCAGAGGGGGGACTCAGAGTGGCTAAAACATCAAACATCCGGGTGTCCCCTGGGCAACGTCCTTGCAGACAGCCAATTCTGTCACACCAGAAGTGACTTGCAGTCTCTCAAGTTGCTCCTGACACAAAAAAGTATTACATTTATTATTTTACTCTATTATTATTACATTTATTATTTTACTTTATTATTGTTGTTATTACATTTACATTATTTACTCTATTGTTATTATTGCATTTATTATTTTACTCTCTTTACTATTATTTGAAGGATACTTAAGCACATTTATGTTGAAGAAGGTTAGAATAATGGTTTCATCAGAGTTGGGTAGTCTTATCTGAAGATGCAGTTTTATGTAAATATTCAAAGACATTTAACCTACTGATGCCTCAATTAATATAATTGTATTGGTATCTATTTTTATTTTGAAATTTACCAGTAGCTGCTGCATTTCCCACCCTCGGCTTATATTTGAGTCAATACGTTTTCCCAGTTTTCTGTGGTAAAATTAGGTGCCTTGGCTTATATTCGGGTCGGCTTATATTCTAGTATTAACAGTACATTATAAGATAAACATAAACCCGGTTGCCTGCTTGTTTGTTATCACACCAGCTAGAAAGTGCTAAAAGACATTATGATACATTCTGAAGTTCCCTGGCTTCTCTGTCAGGGAAAAATTGGGGGTCGGGTTGCAGGTTTTTTTTTTAAATACAGTTTGTAGTGGTCTGTGTTTGTGGTCTTACAATAAGATATGAAATTAGTAAGATAGTTTTTGGGTTTAATCAAAAGAGGCACAGAACTTCTGGCAATCAATAAAACCGTGAAATGGACAAGAGCCAAAAAGAGGGGAGGGATGCACCTGGAAGTGATCGGACATTCCTTTTCCATTCCTTATCTACAAAAAACTATTTGAAATTGCTGTTAGGGCCCTGAATTCCCAGGACACTTCCCTGTAGGATTTTTTTTCCTTTTTATTTTAATAGGTTTTTAAATCTCATCACAGAGCGAAAGCAGAAAAAATTCACCACGTCCTTAAGATGGCTGGCGAAAGAGGTAAGGAAAACTCCCAGAATCTAAACCACTTGCAAGGTTCTGACATGGCTCCCATAAGAGGAAGCATGGCCCAGAAAAGAATAAGAGGAAGGATTTTGAGTTAATTCCAATATCTGCGGATAGAGCCTATGTTTTCTGGACTACAAAGAGCAGAATCTTCCAACAAGTCCATTTATTCTGGGAATTGTAATTCCAAAACTTTGCATTTCAAATCTCTGCTCTTGGTGATGTTAATTAGTAATTATTTTTTGCTCAAAGCTGGACATCCCAGTCTGGATTGTGGACCTTCGTCACGAACTGACCCACGGCAAACTTCCCCCTTTGGTTACTTGTCAGAAAGGTGAGTATAGTCATTAATGTTTTGATGGCAGTGCTTGGTTGGTGTTTTATAGCAGCACTTTGCACGTGATAGTTCACTAAATCTCCACCTGAGGGGTTTTCAGTTTTTAAAAGTAACATAAAGGATTCAAGAAGGAGAGAAATAAGACAGGGAAGAATGTGGGATCGTATTTATTATGCATATTCAGTTATAGAAATCTATGGAAAGTCAGGGACTGTGTTAGAAACCACAGATGGCTCTCCACATTTGTAAGGTTTAATTTCTACGTATTTGATTAATATTTATTTACTTTATTTTTAGCCAGTCCTCCTCTTGATATAGTGACTCAAGGCAGCTTTAGGAATCTTTCTGTGTGTGCTGTGCAGAAATCTCTGTGGCCAACTTATGGCAGAATATGAGCATAGAGCCACACTGGAGGACAGTTTGTGCCCAGCACCTAGAGATTCTTATACAGGCATTTTCTCAGGTGGAAAAATAAAATAAAATTGCAGTTGAATTGCCATTCGTTTTTAGTATGCAACCTTAGTTGAGGGAGGTAAAACTCCTGTTTACGAGAGCTTCCCTGAACTACAGTTCTTTAGTAGAGAACTTCCATCTCACCACATCACAGTGGTGTCATATAATCTAAAGCAGGGGTTCTCAACATTCCTCATGCTGCGACCCCTTAATACAATTCCTCATGTTGTGGTGACCCCCAACCATAAAATTATTTCCCTTCCTACTTCATAACTGTCATTTTTCTACTGTTATCAATCGTAATGTAAATATATGATATGCAGGATGTATTTTCATTCACTGAACCAAATTTGGCACAAATACCTGATATGCCCAAATTTGAATACTGGTGGGGGTGGGGGGTTGATTTTGTCATTTGGGAGTTGTAGTTGCTGGAATTTATAGTTAACCTACAATCAAGGCGCATTCTGAACTCCTCTAACAATGGATTGAACCAAACTTGGCACACAGAACTCCCATGACCAACAGAAAATACTGGAAGGGTTTGGTGGGCATTGACCTTGAGTCTTGGAGTTGTAGTTCGCCTACATCCAGAGAGCACTGTGGACTCAAACAATGATGGATCTGGGCCAAACTTGGCATGTGAACACTGATGGGGTTTGGGGGAAATAGTCCTTGACATTTTGGGAGTTGTAGTTGCTGGGATTTATAGTTCACCTACAATCAAAGAGCAATCTGAACCCCAGCAACAACAGAATTGGGCCAAACTTCCCACATAGAACCCCCATGACCAACAGAAAATACTACATTTTCTGGTGGTCTTTAGTGACTCCTCTGACACTCCCTTGTGACCCCTCCAGGGGTCCCGACCCCCAGGTTGAGAACCACTGATCTAAAGAGAAATCACACTGTTACAGTGTGATTACTCTTATTACTTTAACTAGTTGCATCGTTTTGAGACTCCCACAAGGTGGCATTAGGGTTTGAAGAATACTTTCTGCAGCTGAACAAGAATATGGCTCTTGATCTCTCCAAGTTCTGCTCTGAAACTCAAATTGCTACACCAGGTTAGCTCTTCCCCTGCCTTTTGTTTGTGATAAGTATTAGACTAGAGCTACCTACTTTCTTAGTCTCTGCATCAGTTGTAGTTATCGAAGGCTTTCATGGCTGGAATTACTGGGTTGCTGTGAGTTTTCTGAGCTGTATGGCCATGTTCCAGAAGCATTCTTCCCTGACGTTTTGCCCACATCTGTAGCAGTCATTCTCAGAGGTTGTGAGATCTGTTGGAAACTAGGCAAGTGAGGTTTATAGATCTGTGGAATGATGTCCAGAGTGGGAGAAAGAACTCTTGCCTGTTTGAGGCAAGTGTGAATGTTGCAATTGGCCACCTTTATTAGCATTTAATGGCTGTGCAGCTTCAAAGCCTGGCTGCTTCCTGCCTGGGGAAATCCTTTGTTGAGATGTGTTAGCTGGCCCTGATTGATTCTGGTCTGGAATTTCCCTGTTTTTTGAGTGTTGCTCTTTATTTGCTATCCTGATTTTAGAGTTATTTAATACTTGTAGCCAGATTTTGATCATTTTCATGGTTTCTTCCTTTCTGTTGACATTGTCCTCATGCTTGTGGATTTCAGTGGCTTCTCTGTATAGTCTGACATGGTGGCTGTTAGAGTGATCCAGCATTTTTGTGTTCTCAAATAATATACTTTGTCTAGGTGGCTCATCCAGTGCTCTGTTATGGCTGACTTTTCTGGCTGAATTAGTCTGCAATGCCTTTCATGTTCGTTGATTTGTGTTTGAGCAATGCTGCTGCGTTTGATGGTCCCTATGTAGACTTGTCCACAGCTGCATGGTGAGAGGATCCCTGTTGTCCTTTGCTGAACATAGCATTTGTTAGATTTTCTTAGTGGGTATGTGGTCAGTGGTTCCCTTGATGTCTGGTAACACATTTCCTCTGGGTGGATCTTTGCCTTTACCCTTGTGGCTTGTTTTTGGCCTTGTACTCTTCTGATGTTTGTGATGGAGTCTCCATTGCCTGGTAGAGCCCAGTTTAGGTGGCTCAGTTCACCTTGAAGGAGGTGAGATTTGCAGATTCTGTTTGCACGGTCTGCCAGGGCTTTAATGGTGCTTCTTTTTTGACTTGGGTGATGGTTGGAGTTTTTCTGTAGGTATGTATCTGTATGTGTAGGTTTTCTTTAAACTGTGTGGCTCAATTGTTTATTGGGTTTGTGGATGACGAGGAAATCTAGAAATGGTGGTTTTCCTTCACTTTCTTTTTCCATGATGAATTGGATGTTTGGGTGGATGCTGTTGAGATGGTTCAGGAACTAGTTTTCTTCTTCATGGCTCCAAATGGTGAAGGTGTCATCCACATATCTGAACCATATAGTGGGCTTTTTTGTTGCTGTTTCCAGGGCTTGTTTTTCAAAGCCATGAGAATAAAAGCAAAGATCTACCCAGAGGAGAAGAGTTATTGCTTTACATCAAGGGAGCTTTACCTCAGATTGGAGAAGATCTCTGTCTCAGAATCTGATCTAGTGTTCACTGATCCAGGCTGCGATGTCGTCCTGGAGTGGCTCCGCCGGACGTACTGGAGCCGACAGCTGGGCAACAACATGGCTGGGGGATGCGAGGAGGAAGAAGAGGGCGAAGAAGAGTCGTCGGCAACAGAGAGCGGAACAGACAGCAGCCGAGAGGAGCCTGAGAAATCCCAGTCACCAGGTTTATGGAAAAACCAAGAGCTCCATGGTGTGTAGTTGTTCCTAAGGGGAAATTGGTGCTAAAATCTTGGCCTTCTTCATCATTTTGTGTGTGTAAGGGCAAGGCAAAGGAAATTAACAACTGGTTAAGTTTAGACCTTGGAAGGGGAATTTCCAAGGGAGTGAGAAATGGACCGAGGGATAATCATCTGGTTCCTTAGTAGCTCTTGCAAAACACAGATCCTACAAATCTGACTGTTGAACATGTAGATTAGAAACTGCTTTATAAAGAGTCAGTAGACTTCAGGAATCAAACACTTCAGTAATAAATAATTCTTACTAGATTTGTATTCTACCCTTTTCCAGATAGTGAGAGAGGGCCTTCTCAGTGGTGGCCCCCCGCCTCTGGAACACCCTCCCCAGGGAAGTTAGACAGGCCCCACCCCTCCCCTACTTTCGCAAGACCTGGTGGTTTCAACAAGCATTTGAGAATGACTATTCATTTATTTATTTATAGTATTTGTATACCGCTTATCTCACCCCGAGGGGGACTCAAAGTGGTTTACACATAAGTAATGGCAAAATTCAATGCCAGTACAAACAATTACAATTATACACTACAATTAGGCATGAATCAAGTTAAAAACAGTGCATCCACAAGCAATAAAACAATCATTAAAACAATAAAACAGTCTCATCCGTCGAATCGCCGTTCCAGTCATTGTCTTTCTGAAATGCTGCATATATTTATTTCTACTGCCTGAAGGCCTGGTCCCAAAACCATGATTTTAATTTTTTTTTCTGAACGCCAGGAGGGAGGGAGCGGATCTTACCTCATTTGGGAGTGTGTTCCATAGGCGGGGGGCCGCAGTCGAGAAGGCCCTGTCTCTCATCCCTGCCAGACGCATCTGTGCTGTTGATGGGAGTGAGAGCAGGGCCTCCCCGGATGATCTTAGATTTCGAGGTGGGACGTAGGGGTAGATGTGTTCGGACAAGTAAGCTGGGCCAGAACCTTAGTTCTAGCTCAGCCCTAGACATAGGAGCCCCCGGTGGTGCAGTGGGTTAAACCCCTGTGCCGGCAGGACTGAAGATCGACAGGTCGCAGGTTCGAATCCGGGGAGAGGCAAATGAGCTCCCTCTATCAGCTCCAGCTCCTTATGTGGGGACATGAGAGAAGCCTCCCACAAGGATGATAAAAACATCAATTCATCCGGGCGTCCCATAGGCAATGTCCTTGCAGATGGCCAATTCTCTCACACCAGAAGTGACTTGCAGTTGCTCAAGTCACTCCTGACACGACAAAAAAAAGCCCTAGACATTGTTGAATATGGCCTTTTTCTTCCTAACAATTACCCAGGTCACTTCCTCTAATAGGCCCCAGAAATGAACAGCCATAGACCCGTGCCTATTATTGTTGTTGCCTGCTATAGCACTGTACTTAATTTCCGGGGCCCCTAGAATTTTTGAGCTTGCACTAATCTCGGCCCGGCCTTTTAAATTGCCTTGAACAGGCAGTATTACTTTTAATATATATGTGTTATGGCAACAATTTTGATGCTTATATTGTTTTGTTAAAATATGGTTATGTTGTTTACTCTGTATGTATTGATGACGTTACTTGGAAACCGCTCTGAGTCCCCCTGGGGAGACAGAGCGGTATATAAATAAAGTTTTATTATATATTATTATATAGTGCAAAGGACAGCCATGTTGCTTCCACAAGCTGCTTTTTATCATTTCAAAACGTTTGCCTTTATCTCTTCCCCCAGAGAAAGTCATAGATGTTTTGATGTCTTACAAGAACCAGCAATATAAGGTATGTCTCTCTGCTTTCTAACGTGACAAAAGATGCCTTTTTCACACTTAAGCTAGTAAAAATGCAAGATACTTTAGGGTGTTGTGTGGTTTCTGGGCTGTATGCCCATGTTCTAGCAGCATGTTTTCCTGACATTTTCCCTGCATCTGTGGTTGGCATCTTCAGAGGGCACTTTTATTATAACCCTTTGAGTGCATCACTGTAGAATAGACTCCTTCTTCTAGATTAGTGTTTATCAACCTTCGTATTGCCATGATCTCTTAATACAGTTTCTCATGTTGTGGTGACCACCAACCATAAATTATTTTCGTTTACTACTTCATAACTGTAATTTTGTAAATAATGTAAATATCTGATATGAAGAATGTATTTTCATTCACTGGACCAAATTTGGCACAAATACTCGATATGCCCAAATTTGAATACTGGTGGGGTTGGGGGAGGATTGATTTTGTCATTTGGGAGTTGTAGTTGCTGGGATTTATAGTTCACCTACAATCAAAGAACATTCCGAACTCCACCAATGATGGAATTGAACCAGACTTGGCACACAGAACTCCCATGACCAATAGAAAATACTGGAATGGTTTGGTGGTGACCTACAACTCCAAAGCTTGAGTTTTGGAGTTGAAGTTCACCTATATCCAGAGAGCAGTGTAGATTCAAGCAATGATGGATCTGGATTAAACTTGGCACAAATACTCAATATGCCCAAATGTGAACACTGGTGGAATTTGGGGAAAACAGGCCTTGCAATTTGGGAGTTGCAGTTGCTGGGATTTATAGTTCACCTACAATCAAAGAGCATTCTGAACACCACCACTGATAGAATTGGGCCAAATTTCCCACACAGAACCCCCATGCCTTGAAGGGACTCATTGGCACGAGCCTCCCTCCAACCTCACATGCTTTCCCTTGTATGCACGCACATGTGCTGTTCCCTCCTGCTTGGAGTCTCAGAAACAGCCCTCTGCTTGGTTGAGATGCTGGCCAATCACAGTGAAGGAGAGCTTTTGGTGGGAGGATTTGATGTCTGTTTCCAAAAAGGAGAAGAAGGACAGGCGGAGGGATCCTCAGCCTTCTCTGCCAAAGGGGTTCCTAAGATCATCAGAATTATGTTTTCTGATGGTCTTTGGCGACCCCTCTGAAACCTCCTCGTGACCCCCAGGTTGAGAAATGCTGCCTAGATAAAGGTTTTTATTTCAGTACTAGCCGTCGCCTGCCACGCGTTGCTGTGGCCCTCATGGGGGTACTGTGTGGGAGGTTTGGCCCAATTCTATTGTTGGTGGCGTTCAGAATGCTCTTTGATTGTAGGTGAACTATAAATCCCAGCAACTACAACTCCCAAATGTCAAGGTCTATTTTCCCCAAACTCCACCAGTGTTCACATTTGGGCATATTGAGTATTAGTTTGGTCCAGATCCATCATTGGATCTCTGGATGTAGGTGAACTACAGCTCCAAAACCAAAGGACACTGCTCACCAAACCCTTTCAGTATTTTCTGTTGGTCATGGGAGAAATGTGTGCCAAGTTTAGTTCAATTCCATCATTGGTGGGGTTCAGAACTATAAATCCCAGGAACTACAACTCCCAAATGACAAAATCATATATTTTTTAGTGAAGGACATACATTGGGTTGTTAGGTGTCAATTCGTCCAGTGGTTTTTGAGTTCTGTTAATCCCACAAATGAACATTACATTTTTATTTATATAGAAGAGAGATCTTTTCTCAAGACACCCATGGCCTAATGGGGCACTGATTTCATGTTGTCATGGGAGTGCATCTTAACCTGGTTTTGTGAACACACTGGTTGGTTATATAAAGAGCCTCTGCTCTTGTCAGTATTATTGGTAGTTTTGGTGGTGTATGTCAAATTGTGTTGGCAAATATTCAGCACCTCATTGCTGTCCCACATGAAACCTTCAATCAGTCAGCAAGATTCTTCCCATATTTTGTTAGATCCTACATGAGTTGGAGACCATTGAAGAGGCCTGTGAAGTGTGGTGTAGCTCCTCCTCAGAGGTGGAGTGGGTTGTAGCCCAAATGAACGACTTCCTGCAAGAGAATAGGTAAGGCACATGTGTCAAATTCAGGGCCTGTGAGCCTATGTTGGCTCTCCATGTCAATTTATGTAGCCCTTCAGATGCTGGACTACCATTCCTGTGTTCCTCATCACTAGACACTATGACTAAAGGTTTTGGGAGTCATGATTCAGGAACACCTGAAAGACTAGCATTTGTTCTGTTTAGTCAAGAGTGGATTTGTATTTTAAGCAAGGCTTGTAAGTTTGTTCTGTTTAGTCAATAGTGGGTTTGTATTTAAAGCAAGGCTTGTGGGTGCAATGTCATTTAACCTTTCCCCAACCACACAGCCACAGGGGCTGTTGGGTTGCAATTCCCATTATCCTCAGTCTGCATGGCAGATCATCAAAAGTGAAGTGAGTTTTCGTTCAATGGGAACCTAAATAGAGTAAAAGCTAAAGAGCACCGACCACAATGTAAAAGAATGATAGTTGGCCCTCTGTATCCAGGGATTCTCTGTCTATTGATTCAATGACTCTTTGAAAGCAATCAAACAGTGGAAAATACCAGAGATGACAAATGGAATTGAAAGGAGATTCCATCTGAACATGAGGAAGAACTTCCTGACTGTGAGAGCCGTTCAGCAGTGGAACTCTCTGCCCTGGAGTGTAGTGGGCTCCTTCTTTGGAAGCTTTTAAACAGAGGGTGGATGACCATCTGTCAGGGGTGATTTGAATGCAGTATTCCTGCTTCTTGGCAGGGGGTTGGACTGGATGGCCCATGAGGTCTCTTCCAACTCTTTGATTCTATTATTCTGTTTGAGGGAGGTGAAAGGATGATAATAGCAAAGAACCAAAATACAGCAAAGTTCCACAACTTCATACCAGAAATTAGTAATATACTGATTAGTTTGATTTCTGTCAACTGGATAACAAAACCAGAAGTCCTCAGAAGTCAAGAGGAGCAAATCCTAGGCTATGATGATGATGATAACAACAACAACAACAACAACAACAACAACAACAACAGAATTCAAAAGTCGACGACAGATCCCAAGTGTAAACTCTGCAAGGAAGCAGATAAAACAATCGATCACATCCTCAGCTGCTGCAAGAAGATCGCACAGACAGACTACAAGCAGAGGCACAACACCGTTGCTCAGATGATTCATTGGAACTTGTGCCACAAATACCATCTGCCTGCAACAAAGAACTGGTGGGATCACAAGCAGGAAAAAGTTACAGAAAATGAACACGTCAAACTCCTCTGGGACTTCTGAATTCAGACAAACAGAGTTTTGGAGCATAATACTCCTGACCTCACAATCGTGTTAAAAAACAGTATGGATAGTTGATGTTGCAATCCCAGGTGACAGCAGAATTGAAGAGAAACAACTGAAAAAGCTGACACAATATGAGGATATAAAGATCGAACAGCAAAGACTCTGGCACAAACCAGTAAAGGTGTTCCCAGTTGTGATCGGCACACTGGACATAGTGCCTAAAGATCTTGGCCTGCACTTAAACTCAATCGGTGCTGACAAAATTACCATCTGCCAGCTGTAGAAGGCCACTTTACTGGGATCTGCACACATTATTCGACGATACATCACAGTCCTAGACACTTGGGAAATGTGTGATGTGTGATCCAATACAACAGCCAGCAGAGTGATCTTGTTTGCTGTGGACTCATCTTGTTGTGTTTCAAATAAAAATAATCTACTGGAGAGGCCCTGCTCTCAGTCCCACCAGCTTCGCAAATGCATCTGGTGCGGACGAGGGACAGGGCCTTCTCAATGGTGGCCCCCGCTTGTGGAATTCACTCCCCAGCAAGATCAGATCGGCGGCCTTCCTCCTTTCTTTTAGGAAAAAACTAAAATCATGGTTTTGGAGCCAGGCTTTTGGCTAGGGGGTACAGCAGCACTTTAGACACTGAACCTGGACCACAGAACTGTTATGACAATGGGAAACAGCTATGTGACTTTGTGATTATGTGATTTGTAACTATGTGATTATGTGATTTTAATAATGTTACTGTTCTAATTTGCTATGTATTATGATTTTATATTGTGTTACTGATATTGTGGCATCGAATTGCTGCCTATGTTAGCCGCCCTGAGTCCCCCCTCGGGGGTGAGAAGGGCGGGGTAGAAATTGTGTAAATAATAATAATAACAACAACAACAACAACAACAACAACAACTTATTTTTAATATTGCTTTATCTCCCCAAAGGGAGTCAAAGATTTTAGTAACTGGGGGTCAACTTCTGCTCTTTTTAGTTAATTCCAGAATTAAAATATATCTCCAGTTCTGCTCGTAAAGAGTCACTGTAAGTGTCCCTTTGGGTGAGTCATTTTTTTAAAGAGCGCCAGATGTTTACGCAAGTGAAAGTGATCAGCTTGGTTCTTGTTTCCCCTTTTTCCCCTTTTTGTTTATTATGTGGGGAGGAATCTGGCACATGATTTGGGTGCCAGTTACTATATAATTTTGGCAATCTTTCAGAGCCCTGTGCCTGGGGAAAATTTTGGAGAAGTGAGAATATCTTGCCTCCACATTCAGAGCATCTCTTGGCTCTCGATAAGACATGGCTGGATTGTGACTCTTTCTCAGTGTAGAAAATCTCACCTGAGGCTTATCTTTCCCTGCTTTTCACACTCAGCTTTTGTTTAACCCCTTCTCATACATTGATTTAGGTCAGTGGTTCTTAACTTGTGGGTCCCCAAATGTTTTGGCCTTCAACTCCCAGAAATTCTAACAGCTGGTTAACTGGCCGGGTTTTTGTGGGGTTGGCGACCCACAGTTTGAGAGCCAATGATCTAAACGTATTTGGGTTTCTGCCTGAAACCCTCAGTTTCATACTCGCTCCCACATACATCCTCTTTTAATGTTTCAGGTGTGCTTTGTCACATTTCTATTCTCATAGAAACAGGGCTGGTGGAAATATCAACAAAAGAACAACAGTAACAAAACTTCCATGAATGTTTCAGTCAGAGAAGGGGGTTTCTAAGCATGTGGCCCAAACTGAAGTAGTTTCAGGTGGGACCTTGTGGCCAACTGCATGCCATTTTGAGTTTCATGTCCCTTTTCCCTGGACAGGATTTTCTTACTCAGAGTTTCCTGTAGCAGCAGCTGTGGTTTGAATGGGGAAAGGCATCCAATAAGCTTAAAGGCTCCTGTTTTATGTAATTGCATTGTCATTCACTTGCAAAATGCCAGTTATAGATATTTATATAAATACAATGTAATGTTCGTTTGTGGAATTAACATAACTCAAAAACTACTGGACAAATTGACACCAAATTTGGACAGCATACACCTAACAACCCAATGTATGTCCTTCAGTCAAAAAATGGAAAAATAAAATATTACATCTTTATATATATAAGCTATAATTGCAATATTTTATATATTACTGTTATATAGATTACTATATAATATGTTACTATTATATATTACTATACAACACAAATTAAATACTCTTAGAATAGAGTTGGAAGGGACAGTCAAGAAGTAATGAAAGAAGGAGGGAAAGAGGGAAAGAATGAAGGAGGGAAAGTGGGGGGAGGAAGGAAGGAGAGAAGGAAGGAAGGAGACAAAGAAATAAAAAGGTTAAAGGAAAGAGAGAGGGAAGGAAGGAGAGAAGGAACGAAAGACAGAAAGACAGAGGGAAGGAAGGAAAGAGAGAAAGAAGGATGTAACCAAAGAGCAAAGAAAGGGAGGAAAGAAACAGGTAGAGATGGAAGAAAGAAGAAGAGAAATAAGAAGGGAAAGAAAAAGAGGGAAGGAAGAAAAGAGGGAGGGAATAAAGGAGAGAAAGAGGGAGGGAAGGTTAGCCACAGCAATGCGTGGCAGGTACAGCTAGTACTGTGATATAAATACATAGTAATAGCAATGTTACATTGGTGTATTGTTGTGGCCTCTACAATTATTTCAGAAATTGCTGGTTCAGGTAAACAATAACTGCCTGAAGATTTACGCCGTTCATTATGTGGTCCCTTTTCGTATAGAGCAAGGTCAGTCTTGGTTAATGTTTGGGAGGTAGACCTACAAGTAATATCAAGTGTAGAAGGTTATATTCAAAGGAGAGCAATACCAAAGCACCTCTGTCTAAGAAAACCCTATGAAATCTATAATTCGATAACAGAAGGTGTACACATCAGAGTGAATCTGCCATTCTGTCTCTAAGCCAGGCATGGGCAAACTTTCTAATTTGGGGGCCGCATGGTGAGCCGGAGCGGGGTGGGTGGGCCGGGAGGAAGGGGTTCTCCCCAAGCCCACTCCTTACGCTTTCTTCCATGTCATCTTCTCTTTTGAAGAAAGAAAGTGAAGGAAAGACGGGACACGTTTGGATCCCAAAAGGGTTGGTCTTGGTCAGGATGAGATGGTGGATGGGAGAGAAAAAGTGTATCCATGAGACCCCGTATTGCCTACTCCTGATATAGAAACCTAGAGCTGGAAGAGACCTCCAAGGGCCATCCAGTCCAACCCCCTGCCATGCAAGAAGGCACAATCAAAGCACTCTTGATAGACAGCCTCTGCAGAAAAGCCTCCAGAGAAGGAGACTCCACCACACTCCCAGGGAGCCTATGCCACTCTCCAACAGCTCTTACTCTCAGGAAGTTCTTCCTAATATTTTATTTAATTATTTACGACATTTATATGGCACCCTTCTCACCCCGAAGGAGACTCAGAGCGGCTTATGAGATATATATACATACAATATATTATATTATTAGCATAGCACAATATCAGTATTATATATTACTATATTGTACTATACCATTATATTGTATATATAATTATAATATTTAAGTCAATGATGTGCTGGCTGATACCCAAACAAGGGATGACTGGAGATGTCTCTGCCTTGGTCCTTTGACTATTGGCTGTTACTTCCCGGCGGATGTCAGGTGGTGCAATACTGGCTAAACAGTGTAATTTCTCCAGTGGTGTAGGGCGCAGACACCCCGTGATAATGTGGCATGTCTCATTAAGAGCCACATCCACTTAAATCAAGAAATAGTTTTCTAAGATCTACAGGGACACTCGCTGGAACACCTCAGCAAGTGAGAGTCCAAAAGTGGCAGGCTCAAACCCAGAACCTCAATCAATGGCTGATACAAAATGAGAGACTTCCCCCCTGGGCACACAGAAAACTGGGCGACTTGGAAGGCACTGAACAGACTGCGCTCTAGCACCACGAGATGCAGAGCCAACCTTAAGAAATGGGGCCACAAAGTGGAATCCATGACATGCGAGTGTGGAGAAGAGCAAACTACAGACCACCTGCTGCAATGCAACCTGAGCCCTGCCACATGCACAATGGAGGACCTTCATGCAGCAACACCAGAGGCACTCCAAGTGGCCAGATACTGGTCAAAGGACATTTAATCAACTACCAAGCTTGCAAACTCTGTTATGTTTGTTTGTTAAAAATTTGTTCAAAATGTAATACAGTTGTCTGGTTGCTACTAACACGATAAATAATTAAATAAATATTATAATATTGTATTATTAGTAGTAGTATTATATTGTGTTACATTATAATATAATCATAGAATCATAGAATCAAAGAGTTGGTAGAGACCTCATGGGCCATCCAGTCCAACCCCCTGCCAAGAAGCAGGAATATTGCATTCAAATCACCCCTGACAGATGGCCATCCAGCCTCTGCTTAAAAGCTTCCAAAGAAGGAGCCTCCACCACACTCCGGGGCAGAGAGTTCCACTGCTGAACGGCTCTCACAGTCAGGAAGTTCTTCCTCATGTTCAGATGGAATCTCCTCTCTTGTAGTTTGAAGCCATTGTTTCCGTGTCCTAGTCTCCAAGGAAGCAGAAAACAAGCTTGCTCCCTCCTCCCTGTGACTTCCTCTCACATATTTATACATGGCTATCATATCTCCTCTCAGCCTTCTCTTCTTCAGGCTAAACATGCCCAGTTCCCTAAGCCGCTCCTCATAGGGCTTGTTCTCCAGACCCTTGATCATTTTAGTCGCCCTCCTCTGGACACATCCCAGCTTGTCAATATCTCTCTTGAATTGTGGTGCCCAGAATTGGACACAATATTCCAGGTGTGGTCTAACCAAAGCAGAATAGAGGGGTAGCATTACTTCCCTAGATCTAGACACTATGCTCCTATTGATGCAGGCCAAAACCCCATTGGCTTTTTTTGCCGCCACATCACATTGTTGGCTCATGTTTAACTTGTTGTCCACGAGGACTCCAAGATCTTTTTCACACGTACTGCTCTCGAGCCAGGCGTCCCCCATTCTGTATCTTTGCATTTCATTTTTTCTGCCAAAGTGGAGTATCTTGCATTTGTCACTGTTGAACTTCATTTTGTTAGTTTTGGCCCATCTCTCTAATCTGTCAAGATCGTTTTGAATTCTGCTCCTGTCCTCTGGACTATTGGCTATCCCTCCCAATTGGTGTCGTCTGCAAACTTGATGATCATGCCTTCTAGCCCTTCATCTAAGTCATTAATAAAGATGTTGAACAGGACCGTGCCCAGGACGGAACCCTGCGGCACTCCGCTCGTCACTTCTTTCCAGGATGAAGAGGAAGCATTGGTGAGCACCCTCTGGGTTCGTCCATTTAACCAATTACAGATCCACCTCACCGTAGTTTTGCCTAGCCCACATTGGACTAGTTTCCTTGCCAGAAGGTCATGGGGGACCTTGTCAAAGGCCTTACTGAAATCCAGGTACGCTACATACACAGCATTCCCTGCATCTACCCAGCTTGTAGCTCTATCGAAGAAAGAGATCAGATTAGTCTGGCATGACTAATATATTATGTTATATTATTAGTATAGCACAGGAGACAAGGTGGAACTGCCTTCCTGGGCCCCCCTCTCTTCACTCTGGCCCAGAGTAGCAGTTGGTGCTGGGAGGAGGGTCTCCCAGCTTTTCAGTCAAATCTCTTTCCTTGTCATTTGAACCCATTGCTTCCTTGTGCCCTCGTCTCTGGGGTAGCAGAAAGTCAGTTTTCCCCCTGCCTCCCTCCTCAATGGGACACCCTTTTAAATCCTGAAACATGGTTCTCATGTTCTGCTCAATAATAATTAATAATAATAATAATAATAATAATAATAATAATGGTTTATTTATAACCCACCCTATCTCTTTGAGGGGACTCACGGCTACCTTTCTCTTCTCCCAGGTAAACATCCCCCAGGAGGAAAGGAGGGAGGAAAAAGAGAAGGAAAGAAGGAAGAAAGGGAGGAAGAGACTGGTGGAAGGGTAGAAGGGAAGGGAGGAGAGAGAGGAAAGACAAAAGGGAAGGAAGGAAGGAAGGAAGGAAGGAAGGAAGGAAGGAAGGAAGGAAGGAAGGAAGGAAGGAGAAAGAGGGAGGAAAGGAAGGACAAAAAGGGTAGAAGGGGAAAAAGGAGGGAGGGAGGAAAGTTAGAGAGAAGAAAGGAAAGATAGGATGGTGAGAGGAGGGCCCGAGAAAAGAGCCCAGGGGCCGCGTCCAGGTCTGGGTTTGCCCATACCTGTTCTAATTGGAGTGTGATCAATACTTATATAAAATAGAGGGGCATGTGAAGGGCTGGGTGTAGATGGGTGCATCATCTCTAATTGCAAATTAACCCCAACGTTTGCAGGGAGGTTGTGGCTGGAGCTTTGCTGGACGACGGCTTCCTCATCCCAACCTTAGAAGACCTGCAGATCTTGGATATCAGCTCTCAAGGTGGGTCTCACAGATCTCCTTCCTTGGGCAAATGGCTGAATGTCCTTTCTTCTGTTGGCCATTTCAAATACATAAAAAGAACTATGTGCTAAATCCCAGCAAATGTTGGATTGTGGGATCAGCTGACATAAATCTTTTATTTGACCTTCCCTCCACGAAAGACTGTTGTGTCCCCAAGGTCCCTTTTCATGCAGTCTTTTTGCCCATCTCTGCTTGGTCCCTCCTACCTCCAAAATAATACAAAGCTACAGCTTTGAATCTTGAGTCATATTGAGATGGTTTTCAACATATTTTCTGTTCACATTTTTTAATGCCCTCTTCTTTCTCCTCTTCCCCATCCATCCTTCTGTTGTGGTGACGAAGCAACCAAAGAGTGGGATTTCAAAATCCCTTGGCGGTTTTTCTCCTTCTGGCTTCTCCTGCTGAAGGGCCTGCATTGCAAGGACTTCACGCAGACGCTGCTGGAAAAGATGTTTGCAGAGCTGAAGAGGCACGGACGGGACCCGGACCTTCGCTCGCGATACCTCACCCGCTGGATCTCCAAAATCCTGAAAACCAACATGCAAACCAGTGAGTCTTAGCTTCAGTCGCTATGCCTGGGATTGCTATATTGGTTCCTGGGGAGTCTAAGTATGGGGTGAATAGAAATAGGGTTCATGTGGGGAAATGCAGTGGGATTTTCACTTTTAAGATGCAGCTATCACTCCCCCTCCTTCCTCCCCAGTCTTGGCATAAGATGAGTAAGTTTTGAGAGTCTAGAGCAGGTATGGGCAAACTCAAGCCCTGGGCTGGATGTGCCCCTTGGGCTCTTTTCTCAGGCCTTCCTCTCTCACACCATCCTATCCTTCTTTCCTTCTCTTTTTCCTTCCTCTTTCCCTCCCTCGTTCTCATTTCCTTCCACTCTTTTGTCCTTCCTTCCTCTCTTTCCTTCCTCCTTTCTTCCTCCCTCTTTCTCAATCCCCCCTCATCCCTTCCATGCTTTCATCCTTCTTTCCTTCCCTTTCTCCCTCTTTCTTCTTCTTTCCCTTTTGTCTTTCCTTCCTTCTCCCTTTCCTCCCTCCCTTACCTCCCTCCATTCCCTTCCACCCTTTCGTCCTTCTTTCCTCTTTTTCCTTCCTCCTTCCCTTTCACCCTTTAGTCCTTCCATCCTTCCCTCCAAATTGTCTTTTCTTCCTTTTCTCTTTCCTTCCTCCTTCCCTCCCTCCCTTCCCTCCCTCTTTCTCCTTCCATCCTTCTCTTTCAACCTTTGTGTCCTTCCTTCCCTCTCTCCTTCTTTCTCCTTCCTTCCTTCCTCCTTCTCTCTTTTTCTCCCTCCCTCCCTCTCCTCCTTTCTCTCCTCCCTTCCTTCTCTTTCCTCCCTCCTTCCCTCCCTCTTTCCATTCCCTTCCCCACTTTCGTCCTTCCTTCCTTCTCTTTTTCCTTCCTCCATTCCTTCCACCCTTTTGTCCTTCCATCCTTCCCACCGATTTGTTGTTCCTTCCTTCTCTTTCCCTCCTCCTTCCTTCACTCCCTTCCCTCCCTCTTTCTCCTTCCATCCTTCCCTTCCACCCTTTTGTCCTTCCTTCCCTCTCTCCCTCTTCCTCCTTCCTTCTTTCCATCCTTCTCTTTCTCCCTTCCTTCTCTTTTTCCTTCTTCCTTCTCTTCCTTTCATCCTTTCTTTCCACCAGTTCATTCCTCCCTTTTGTCTTTCCTTCCTTCTCTTTCCTCCCTCCCTCCCTTCCTCCCTTCCTTCCCTTCCTCCCTTTTGTCCTTCCTTCCTTCTCTCTTTCCTTCCTCCTTCCTTCTCTACCTTCCTTCCATCACTGGGCAGCCAGTCCTCCTAGCAAGGAGTGCTAACATGCAACCCCCAAGTTAGAAAATTTGCCCATGCCTGGTCTAGAGCCTGTTTTCAGAGTCTAGAACCTGGTTTCAGGATCTTCCTAATGGCTACACCATCCCCTACAAACAAAACTACTTAAGGTTTGAAAAAAAACCCAATCAAACTCTTTAAAAAAAACCATATGCGTGTCCTGCAAAGTCCCTTTTTAATGTTAGAGTGAAATTGTACCTTTTGAATATACAATTCTCCCTTTAAAAACTTGTGTGTGACAGTTTTTACGGCTCAAAGGCCCCCATGGTTACTACTTTCAGTTTAGAATTAAGCATTTGTTTTCCATCCTGCCTTGCTGCCGAATGGAAATAACAGACGCCTGAGCTTTTCTTCTTTTTTGTCTTCCATATTCTTGTGCTAAAGAGAAGAAACGGAACAAGCACTCTTTGGCGCTCTTTCGCCGGCCCGTTCCATTGCAATGGCTGAAGCTCCTGGAAGGCTGCCTTGAGGCGCCCTGCTGGGCCAGCCCCCACCTCCTCCACCTGTAAGTATGAAGGCCAGAATGGGTGAAGAGCTGGGATGCATTCATCTCTTATTAGATAACCCTAGGCTTCTAATGTTCCTCTTCTGTTGTATTTGATTGTTGTGCATGTGCTTCCTCTGGCAGAGAAATCAAGAGGGCTGCTGGAGAAATGGAGGAAGAGTGTATCTTTCTTCTGACATTCCTCCTCAGTTTCCTTCATTTGCCATACATTCTATATAGATTTTCTTGGTAACTGAGGCTTGAGTGATCTGTTTCAGGGAAAAACTACCCTAAAAGGAGGATCCAAAAATAAACAGGATACAAAAGTTGAGCATCATTATAAGGATATTCCGGAACGATCAAGTAGTAGAGAGAACATTTTAAGTAACTTGAATTTATCAAACAGGGCAAGATATAGAAATAATTGCCCCTCACTGTTTTACCAAATATAAACAGCCTGGGGAAAACTATGCTAGCCTTTTGTCGTTAATTATAAGGAACTTAGCAGGGAAAGGAACAGGGGTTTTTAAAATAGTGAATCCCACAAGCTGCCAACCAAATTATATATAGATGCAGGGGAATTTTTAAAACAGGAAAGAGGCAACTGGGAGATCTTGAAACTCTTTCTTCAATGGTTTTCGCTGCCACCTTTTTGTTTGGTATTAAGGCCAAGTTGTATGTGAAGAATATACTTAGTAACACCCCTTTTGTGTTACAATAGTGTTTGTTTTATTTAGACGGTTTAAATCACAATGATGTTCACACTGAGGCTGTTATAGGGTGTTAACAATAAATAAAATGTTTATTTAACAGGCTTAAACTTCTTCTGGTACAAATGCGTAGTGGTTTCAGTCAGTTACTGGTACATAAGCTTCTGGTTACATTTGATGTACAATTCTAAGATTGGTTCTGGGTTCAAATCTTGATGTTAACAAAATGGGAGATTATCTCAGGAAATTACAGTATATTCTGGCGTATAAGACTACTTTTTAACCCAAGAAAATCTTCTCAAAAGTCAGGGGTCGTCTTATATGCGGGTGTAGTCTTATGCATGGGAGTCATCTTAATTCTATATTTTAACTGGAAAAGTTGGGGGTCGTCTTATATGCCCAGTCGTCTTATATGCCGGAATATACGGTAATCGCTGATAATAATTCCAAACAAAATTCCCCCTTTCTGGAACCTAGCCAATAACCTTTGGCCTAGCCTTCCTCAGGGACAAAGAACAGACCACAAGCAAGGTCCTGTTCCACTATCTGTATTCCTAGCTAATTTCTCTAACTCTTGAATACCACAAAAGAATAACTCAGCTCTCTTATCTAACACCAACCAACTGTTATCACCAACTGACAAAACTCCCCAACAGACATTTTTTTCTTTTTGAACACTAGGCTCCGGCCCCTATTTTCTAACCAATCCTGGCCGTCTAATCTCTGCTTCTGGAATTAGGACATGCCCCCTCTAGAAAACCCTTAACTGAGATGGCATCTCCTTGTTTCCATATCCTAAGATGGCCACCAGGGCTTTGCCAGGCCCACATCCTAGCTACTTAAACAACCAATCTGAATGAGAGCAGAAACAGAGAGGAGAGGAGAAATGAGATACATTCCAACTGTCATACAGGAGACATGGGAGAAGGGAATTCCCTCATCCTATACTAAACTAAATATCTGTTCCTCATTGAGGACTTCTGACTGGGGCAGTGTGGAGTTGAATTCCAACAATTAGTTTAACTCGGGACTCTTCCCGCAACCCTTTCAATCTGAAAGCTGCCATCTTGCTTTTGCTTCTTCCTCTCTTTCTCATTTGTCATTTCTTCCCTTTTTGCCGCCAGGATCCTGTCCAGCATGGATCCCCCTTTGCCTCCAGACTCCCAGGAGAAGCTCCTCTACCTGACTTCCATCTACACCCAAGAAGAAGCCGCCCGGCCCAGCCCTGGCTCCGCTGTGGACCTTCAGAAGCAGCCTATTTACACAATGGAGAGTTTGCAGTTCAAGCTGAAGCACGGCGGGAATGGCAGAAGGGCCGGGAGGCAAGCGATGGGCCTGCAGAGTGTTGAAGAAGAAGAAGGGATGGAGGAGGAGGAAGAAGCGGAGGAAGAAGGCGGGGAAAATGAGGAGGAGGAGATGGACGCCCAGGTAGCACCTCCGCAAGAGCCTTACTTCACGGAGAATGCAGCAACTTTAGCTGAGAAAAGGATGGCCTTACAGGGATCGGCCTGGCAGCTTAACACAGGTAGAAAGTGTTGGGCAAGTGGGTTTATTAACAAAAGACCCCCTTAAATGTACAACAGAGTAACTTATTAGCAGTAGCATTACCCAGCACTAGTAGCCAAAAGTGATAAAAAGAACAAAAACACACAGACTGATGCTGTATCTTCCATAGAAGACTTTTCTTTATAGCAAAATAATATAGTTGCATTGTTTACAAGAACAAGGTTTCCATAACATGAACAAAATCTATATAAATAAAACTGTAATGTTCGTTTGTGGGATTAACAGAACTCAAAAACCACTGGACAAATTGACACCAAATTTGGACATAAGACACCTAATAACCCAATGTATGTCCTTCACTCAAAAAAATTGATTTTGTCATTTGGGAGTTGTAGTTGCTGGGATTTATAGTTCATCTAAAATCAAAGAGCATTCTGAACTCCCACCAACGATGAAATTGAACCAAACTTGGCACACAGTTCTCCCATAACCAACAGAAAATACTGGAAGGGTTTTCTGAGCAGTGTCCTTTGGTTTTGGAGTTGTAGTTCACCTACATCCAGGGACTCAAAAAATGATGGATCTGGACGAAACTCTACATGAGTACTCATAAGCCCAAATGTGAACACTGGTGGAGTTTGGGGGAAATAGAATCTTGACATTTGGGAGTTGTAGTTGCTGGGATTTATAGTTCGCCTACAATCAAAGTGCATTCTGAAGCCCACCAGCAATAGAATTGGGCCAAACCTCCCACACAGAACCCCCATGTGGGCCACAGCAACGCGTGGCAGGGGACGGCTAGTTCTTTATACTTCCTTCTTTGCTTCCATTCTGGGCTTCTTTCTCATGCAGATAAACAGCTTCGCTCTCACAGAGTCTCTTCTCACACCAAAACCTCACCAGTAGCATTTTACACACAGCAGCCTTCGCACAGGAGCTTCACAGATGAGGTCTTCAATCTGGGGCTGCTCTCACTGAAACTTCTCACACACCAGGCCTACTAACACTGAGGCCTACTCACACACTGAGGCCCTCCTTCCACAGAAACCTCTCACAGACTGAGACTACTAAGCTACAGGCACACCTGCTTATATAGAAGTACAGCTATCCATTTAAACCTTTCAGTGCTTGATTTGCATTTTTGTAATTAAAAATACCTACTTAATTTTTAATATTTCTGTCAGAAAGTGCCCCAAAAGATGGTGGGGGGAAGGAGGGAGGAATTAATGCCCTAATTTTTCTCTGGGTGTCTACCGAGACAGTGGTCGGGACTTGGAGACTGCGGATCTGGGGGCGGAGGGAGGGAAGAAACTAGAGTGGTCTCAAGATGGACACATTCCAGCTAGGAAATGCCGAATCTATCTATCTTGAGTACAACTTTCCCCTCCCACAGATGGGGTGAAATGGAGGAACTTCCCTCTGGGCCGGCTGCCTGGCCAAAGTGATGACCCCGACACCCTCTTGGTGGACAACTACACTTTGATCACAGGACCGGACCAGCTAGTGAAACAGGACAAGAACAGCTCTTCTGGCGTGACGTAAGTGGGGTGCTTTGAGGTGGGTGGCCTTATAACAGCCAAATGCAGAAATCAGTTAAGATCACATGACAGACAAAGTTAGGGTTGACCAACTTCCCAGTGTTGGTGGGCCATGTTCCTCACCCGTTTAGGTGCCACCCATTTGCAGATTCCCGTGCTGGAAGTTGGCTGACCATGATAGAGTGATGAACAATTGTAGGTGCTGTCTTTTGGCATATACCGTATATACTCAAGTATCAGCCGATCCGAATATAAGCCGAGGGACCTAATTTTACCACAGAAAACTGGGAAAACATATTAACTCAAGTATAAGCCAAGGGTGGGAAAAGCAGCAGCCACTGGTAAATTTCAAAATAAAAATAGATACCATTAAAATTACATCAATTGAGGCATCAGCAGATTAAATGTTTTTAAATCTATATAAATAAAAATTTAATGTTTGTTTGTGGGATTAACATAACTCAAAAACCACTGGACGAATTGACACCAAATTTGGACACAATACACCTATCAGGCCAGCGAGTGACCATCACTCATAAAAACACTGAAAAACACAGTTGAAGAGACTTTAAAAAACTAAAAATGCAACGCGTGCGCAAAACCACATATATATACGCAAACACACATATACAAAAATATATACACACACAAAGCACATATACACAGACTAGGCCGCAGCAACACGTGGCAGGGGACAGCTAGTATTTATATAAAAGTGTAATTTAAGGTAAGATTGCAATTAAACCATTATTCTAAACTTCAATGTAAACGTGCTTATGTAGCCTTCCAATAATAATAAAGATAGCAAAATAAATAATAATAATAGAGTAAAATAATGGAAATTTAATAATAATATACAATTAGAAATGTAATAATAATAGAGTAAAATAATGGAAATGTAATAATAGCAATAATAATAGAGTAAAATAATAAATGTAATAATAATAGAGTACAATTAGAAATTAATAATAATAATAATAATAATAATAATAATAATAATAATAAATAGAGTAAAGTTAGAAATGTAATAATAGGGTAAAGTAATGTAAATATAATAATAATAAATAGAGTAAAATAATTATTGTAATAATAATAGAATTAAATAATGAAATGTAATAAAAGCAATATTTATTTATTTATTTGCGCCATTTATATGCTGCCCTTCTCACCCCGAAGGGGACTCAGAGTGGCTTACAAGATATATATACATACAATATATTATATTATTATCATAGTACAATATCAGTATTAATAATAATAATAACAGAGTAAAATAATAAATAACTGACTCGAGTATAAGCCAAGGGGGATTTTTTTTTTGCCTAAATAAGGGCTGAAAAACTCTGCTTATACTCAAGTATATACGGTATATCAGTTGCTTATATTCTTAAGTAGTATTTACATTTGATGTATGGTTTAATGCCTCGAAAATTGTGTGCTTCATATTTGTTTAAGGTATTTTGTTTCAGTTTATATTGTGAGTTGCTTTAACGTCCCCTTAGGGAAAAGAAAAATATATTTAAATCCCATTTGAGAGAAGGACCGTAAGAACCACATCCAGTAAATCTTTGGATGCCTCAAAACATATGAGGCTCTGTTTTTTTTTTTTTTGTCGTGTCAGGAGCGACTTGAGAAACTGCAAGTCGCTTCTGGTGTGAGAGAATTGGCCGTCTGCAAGGGTGTTGCCCAGGGGACACCCAGATGATTTTGATGTTTTCATCATCCTTGTGGGAGGCTTCTCTCATGTCCCTGCATGAGGAGCTGGAGCTGATAGAGGGAGCTCATCCGCCTCTACCCGGATTCGAACCTGCAGCCTGTCGGTCTTCAGTCCTGCCGGCACAGGGGTTTAACCGACTGTGCCACAGGGGGCTCCTGTTTGGTTGAAGGGTGAGGAATAATACTCTCAATAAACGAACACAGTCCCATCAAATAGATATAGTATCAAAAATTGGGGTCATGTGAATATATCAGGCATGTTCTGTCCATTTTTCCGCACGCTGCCTCCCCACCATCAGCCAGAGAGTTCAGAGAAACAGCCATCATTGCAGGAACATCCAATGAATTGGCACTGCTGAGTAAGTGGGACCGGAGTGGCTGTAATTCTCATAATTGGCCCAGCTGCAGTGGCAACGGGAATCACTTCTTAATGGCAACATGATGTGAGTCCATGACACCAACTCAGGCAGATAATTAGGACTCGCCCTCCTGAAAGCATCTGGCCTGCTGGAAACATACTCCTGGCAAACCAAGGGCTTAAAATAGATACTGGTAAATATAAACTAAGAATGGATGCAAGAGGCATCAGACCTCTGGGATGGGTATTGTCACCTTTGTCATCTTGCCAGCTGAAGTCCGAGGCCCTTGAGCGAGAAACATGGAACAAAACAGCGTGCAACAGATAAGATGTGAAAGGAAAGTGACAATTGCCTCATTGCAGATTCCACCGCTTGAGGAATTTGATCTGTTCACTCTTTAAAGAGGTGTTGTTTGGAGAGGAATAAAAGCCAGGAGGGCATCCACACAACATAAGCTAGTGCAAATGCTAGTTGCGCTGACCCCTCATCTGGAGAAAAGTACTATGTTTTCAAAATAGCATTGAGGAACAGTCGACATTCAGGATATAGGGTTGACTTTGAGGCCTTGTTGTTTGGGTTTTTTTCCCCCCGGCAACCCCAGGAATAAAATACCGTATATACCCAAGTATAAATTGACCCAAATATAAGCCAAGGCACCTAATTTTACCACCAAAAAACTGGGAAAAGGCATTGACTCGAATTTGAGCTGAGAATTTGAGCTGTATAGGAGGTTTGGCCCAATTCTATGGTTGATGGGGTTCAGAGTGTTCTGGGATTGTAGATGAACTATAAATCCCAGCAACTACAACTCCCAAATGTCAAGGTCTATTTTCCCCAAACTCCACCAGTGTTCACATTTGGGCATATTGAGTATTCGTGTAGAGTTTGGTCCAGATCCATCATTGTTTGAGTCCACAGTGCTCTCTGGATGTAGGTGAATTACAATTCCAAAACCAAAGGACACTGCCCACCAAACCCTTCCAGTATTTTCTGTTGGTCATGGGAGAACTGTGTGCCAAGTTTGGTTCAGTTCCATCGTTGGTGGGGTTTAGAATGCTCTTTGATTGTAAGTGAACTATAAATCCCAGCAACTACAACTCCCAAATGACAAAATCAATTTTTTTGAGTGAAGGACATACATTGGGTTGTTAAGGTGTCTTGTGTCCAAATCTGGTGTCAATTCCCCCAGTGGTTTTTGAGTTCTATTAATCCCACAAGCGAAAATCACATTTTTATTTATATAGATTGGGCATGTCATGGTGATTGGGGTCTGTGTTGGAAGGAAAGTGATTCTTCTGGCTGCGAGATGACGGCAGGCCAACCAGGTGCCCTGCTATCAGCTGTGTTTTCTTATGCCGACACTGTAGTCTTGATAGAGCAGAATGGGGCTAACCCTCGGCCTTCTCCATCTCCTTTTAGTAAGCGAAAGAGGAAGAAGCAGAGTGACGTATGGGATGCAGCTGGTGCCTGAAAGAAATCACCACTCAGTACTCTGTTTTCTAACACAAAGGAGGAGCAAAGGGTTGGTTCCCTTGAGCCCTTCCTTACCTGTGCAATGCAGTTTGTAGGAACCTGTGCCATAGAAGCAGTAGATTTCTTCAGTACCTCTCTTCTACTCCAGAACTTGTGTAGTTCCATATAAACACCTCAAATTACAGTGGGTCCTTTGTTCTGGAATTCCGCTTTCTGTTTCGAAGGAAGCTCAAGTCTCATTATATACAGCAGCACAGTCAAATGATCAGAGGACAGGAGGGCAGCCTCCATTTTAATAAGGAAAGGGATATTATAGAGCTCAAAGAGATGAATGCCTAGTATAAAAAGTAGCATACAGGACGTAGTTTGCGCCTATTCATCAAACTGGTAGTTTTCCTTTTTTGTGTTTTAGGAGTATAGTGTATAGATCCAAGGAAGTAATGCTACCCCGTCTGGGGAGAACAAACAGTGGAAGACATTGAACATTTTTTAATTGACTGTCCAGCATATACTGAAAAGCCTAGAGAAGACAATTATGCTGGGGAAAGTGGAAGGGAAAAGGAAGAGGGGCCGAGCAAAGGGCAAGATGGATGGATGGCATCCTTGAAGTGACTGGACTGACCTTGAAGGAGCTGGGGGTGGTGACGGCTGACAGGGAGCTCTGGCGTGGGCTGGTCCATGAGGTTCCGAAGAGTCGGAGACGACTGAACGAATGAACAACAACAACAACATATACTGAACTGCGAGACAGATATTTACATCCAATATTATCCAACTGCAGGTCCCCCAACAGAAATGATATTCTGACATCCCTCTTGCAAGGGCAGGAAAGAGCCAACATAATCAGAGTAAGCCTTTTTACTCTGAAAGCTATTAAGAAAAGAGCAGATTTCCTGAAAGAAGAACCAGGAAAATAAGATTCTGACTATAAATAGAAGGTCAGTTGCTGTCCTCACCTTTTTTGCCTTGTTTTTTACTCGTGTTCTATTTTGAAATGGTCATATGACTGATCAAATAAATAATAATAATAATAATAATAATAATTAAATATTATTATTATTATTATTAGTAATGCTATTATTATTATTATTATTATTATTATTATTATTATTATTATTTGGGGTGCTTCTACCCCGCCCTTCTCAACCCCCTAGGGGAGATTCAGGGCGGCTTATAAATGGCACAATTCGATGCCCAACAATTCACAAAATACAATACACAGATTTGCTACCCCTCTATTCTGCCTTGGTCAGACCACACCTGGAATATTGTGTCCAATTCTGGGCACCACAATTGAAGAGAGATATTGACAAGCTGGAATGTGTCCAGTGGAGGGTGACTAAAATGATCAAGGGTCCGGAGAATAAGCCCTATGAGGAGCGGCTTAAAGAGCTGGGCATGTTTAGCCTGAAGAAGAGAAGGCTGAGAGGAGACATGATGTATAAATATGTGAGATGAAGTCACAGGTAGGAGGGAGCAAGCTTGTTTTCTGCTGCCCTGGAGACTAGGACACGGAACAATGGCTTCAAACTACCAGAAAAGAGATTCCTTCTGAACATTAGGAAGGACTTCCTAACTGTGAGAGCTGTTTAGCAGTGGAACTCTCTGCCCCGGAGTGTGGTAGAGGCTCCTTCTTTGGAAGCTTTTAAACAGAGGCTGCATGGCCATCTGTCAGGAGTGCTTAGAATGCCATTTTCCTGCTTCTTGGCAGGGGTTGGACTGGATGGCCCATGAGATCTCTTCCAAATCTATGATTCTATGTGAATTTCTGCATATGCTTTAAAGGGGTGAAGGAAAGGTGACCATTTATTTGGGATTTCTAGAGAAGGTCCTCATATTTTGTGGTTTTGGGTCAAAATCAAGGCAAGTTCCATCAAACTGGAACCTCTCCAAGAACTGACAAAACTTGGCAATGGTTTCAGTCTATTTGACTTTGCATTTTTACATGGAAATCCTGCACACCCTCCAGGAAGTTGGTTTGTTTGCAATGATGCAAGAGCCTGAGCCGGCCTTGGCTCTTTGCTCAGGCTTTTAGGGAAATTCTTATCTCTTTTTAGCTTTGGGGAAATTCTGAGATGTGTTTCAACCTTTTCCTCTTCCTGCTTGCCGAAACATACTCATAATAACACGTGTTATTACGTGTGACATGATTGGAAAGGTGAAACTGATGCAGATGTGAGACAGGCTCATTGAGGCTGCATTTCTGAACCCAATGGACAGGTCCAAACGTATCTGGGCCTTGAATATTTAAAGCAGCATTTCTCAGCCTTAGAGTCGGGACCCCTAGGGGGGTCATGAGAGGGTGTCAGAGGGGTTACTAAAACTATCAGAAAACACAGTATTTGGTCATGAGGGTTCTGTGTGGGAAGTTTGGCCCAGTTTTGTCGTCGGTGTGGTTCAGAATGCTGTTTGATTGTTGGTGAACTATAAATCCCTGCAACTACAACTCCCAAATGTCAAGGTCTATTTTCCCCAAACTCTGCCAGTGTTGACATTTGGGCATATTGAATATTCATGCCAAGTTTGGTCCAGATCCATCATGGTTTCAGTCCACATTGCTCTCTGGAAGTAGGTGAACTACAACTCCCAAACTCAAAGTCAATGCCCACCAAACCTTTCCAGTATTTTTTGTTGGTCAGGGGGAGGCTCTTCTTTCACCCCTACCATTATCTCAGGCCCGCTTTGTGGGAACAAGGGAGGGAGCCTTTTCCTCAGTGGCTCCCTGATTATGGAATACATTGCCCAGTGAGATTAGACGAGCCCCTACTCTAGAAAGTTTTAAGAAGAACCTCTAAACCTGGCTCTTCCATAGCGCTTTTGGAAATTAATCATAATATCTCATATGACGGTTATTCCTCAACATCTGTCTTTAGTGCATATCCCTTCCTCTTCTGTACGAAGGTTTTTTTTCAACTCCACTTTGGAAAGTTTTTCCCCCACAAAAAAAATGCTTCATTGTTGTCTCACCCCGTGTTTTTAGCCAAGTTTTTAGCCTTAGTATGTTCGTCTGTACTGTTCTATTTTATGTTATGAATAATTTTATTGTAATTTTATTTTTGTTTACTGTGTTCCTACATCTTATGTTCTATGTAATTTATCATGTTTGTGTTTTGATTTTATCTATTGTATTGCATTGTTGGACTTGGCCTTATGTAAGCCGCCTCGAGTCCCCATTGGGGAGATGGTGGCGGGGTACAAATAAAGATTATTATTATTATTATTATTATTATTATTATTATTATTATTACTTGAAACACTACAAGATGAGTCCACAGCAGACACTCTGCTGGCTGTTTAATTGGATCACACATCGGACACTTCCCAAGTGTCTAGGACTGTGTGATATATCGGCAAATAATGCATGCAGATCCCAGTAGGGTGGCCTTCTGCAGTTGGTAGGTGGTAATTTTGTCAGCGCCGATTGTGTTTAAGATAGATAGATAGATAGCTAGATTAGATAGATAGATAGATAGATAGATAGATAGATAGATAGATATTATTCACACACAGAGAAAATTTTGAAAGGGACCCTTAAAGAAGGACAATGATATGTTGCATGTTCCAGGGTGAGCAAACCAGACACTCCCCACATCAACACTGACAAAGAATGATCAAGGGTCTGGAGAACAAGCCCTATGAGGAGCGGCTTAAAAAGCTGGGCATGTTTAGCCTGAAGAAGAGAAGGCTGAGAGGAGACATGATGAGGGCAGGAAATAACCGCTTAGAGTCGCCTTGTTGGCTGATATAGGCGGTATACAAAAGGAGTAAATAAATAAATAAATAAATAAATACTGTTTACTCACAAGCATAAAGAAATTACATACATTAGAAACCAACACTTTCTCATTACTTTATTTTCCAGACCAACAGACTGGGCCACAGCAACGCGTGGCAGGGGACAGCTAGTATTGTATGAAAATATATCCTGTAAGCCACTCTGTGTCCCCTTTGGGGTGAGAAGGGTGGCATATAAATGCTATAAATAAATAGTCCCCATGATAATAGTGTGGAGTCTGCTGTATTGTCTTTCCTATCAAGTCATCTCACTGGAAGGAGGGAACAGGCTTGTTTTCTGCTGCCCTGGAGACTAGGATGTAGAACAATAGCTTCAAACCACAGGAAAGGTGATTCCACCTGAACATGAGGAAGAACTTCCTGACTGTGAGAGCTGTTCAGCAGTGGAACGCTCTGTTCCGGAATGTGGTGGTAGCTCCTTCTTTGGAGGCTTTTAAACATAGATCATCTGTCAAGGGTACTTTGAATGTGATTTTCCTGCTTCTTGGAAGAACGGGGTTGGACTGGCCCACGAGGTCTCTTCCAACTCTAGGATTCTATGATTATCTCCCCCTTTTGAAAGACTAGTTTTGAGACAGGTTAGGCATGCACCGGGCAAGGAAACTTGCCTGCTTGAAAGCCTACTTTGGAAGGACAGAGCCTTGAGTTTGGGGCCCTCCTCCTCATGCATTCCTTCTTCCTCTCCCCGTTTTGTCCTTGCAGGTCTTCTGAATGGGGAGGAGCCTCGGCAGCGGAAGGACTCCTGTGGACTCAGAGTCAGCTCCATAAGTTGAAAAGTGGCCTCCAGCTCTACTAAGAAGGGAGGCTTTGCTTCAATATCCACAGAAGTACACCAGGTGTGTAAAGTTGCTCCCTGCTGCAAGGGAAAGAGAAAAGATACCTATGTCTCCTTAAGAATATTCCAAAAACAGTTCCTAGTTCATTCATTACACTGAAGTGTTGTTTACCTGTAAATGACAGCAAGATATTGCCCATAAAGTGACCATGTTAAGTGTTTCTGATCTGTAACTCTTCCCCACTTTTAAAACTGGTTCTTTATATTAATAAAATATCATCGGTTGTTAATGGCATGGTGACTTTTTACAAGTGGAGTGCCATAAGCAGGGTCTCATCCTTAGCTCAGTTCTGGTCAACATCTTTATTAATAACTAGCCGTACCCTGCCACGTGTTGCTGTGGCTCTCATGGGGGTTCTGTGTGGGAGGTTTGGCCCAATTCTATCGTTGGTGGGGTTCAGAATGCTCTGAGATTGTAGCTGAACTATAAATCCCAGCAACTACAACTTTCAAATGTCAAGATTCTATTTTCCCCAAACTCCACCAGTGTTCACATTTGGGCATACTGAGTATTCATGTAGAGTTTGGTCCAGCTCCATCATTGTTTGAGTCCACAGTGATCTCTGGATGTAGGTGAATTACAACTCCCAAACTCATGGTCAATTCCCACCAAGCCCTTCCAGTATTTTCTGTTGGTCATGGGAGAACTGTGTGCCAAGTTTGGTTCAATTCCATCGTTGGTGGGGTTCAGAATGCTCTTTGATTGTAGGTGAACTATAAATCCCAAATGACAAAATCAATTTTTTTTTTAGTGAAGGACATACATTGGGTTGTTAGGTGTCTTGGGTCCAAATTTGGTGTCAATTTGTCCAGTGGTTTTTGAGTTCTGTTAATCCCACAAACGAACATTACATTTTTATTTATATAGATGGGTTATAAGGCATGATCATCAATTCTGGACACTGCAATTGAAGTAGAGATGGTGACATGCTGAAGGAGGGTGACTCAAATAATCAAGGGTCTGAAGAACAAGCCCTGTGAGAAATGGCTTAAAGAGCTGGGCATGTTTAGCCTGAAGAAGAGAAGACTGAGAGGAGATATGATAAAATATAAATATGTGAGAAGTCATAGGGAGGAGGGAGCAGGCTTGTTTTCTGCTGCCCTGGAGACTAGGACATGGAACAATGGCTTCAAACTATAGGAAAGGAGATTCCATCTGAACATTAGGAAGAGCTTCGTGACTGTGAGAGCTGTTCAGCAGTGGAATTCTCTGCCTCGGAGTGTGGTGGAGGCTTTTAAACAGGCTGGATGGCCATCTGTCAGGGATGCTTTGAATGCGATTTTCCTGCTTCTTGGCAGAATGGGGTTGGACTGGACGGCCCACAATGTCTCTTCCAACTCTAGGATTCTATGATTCTAAGATTTATTTCCAGTCAAAGCAATATTAGGAAGCTGCTCAAAATACTAAATTTAAATTTGGCTTTAAAATATTTTAAAATAGCCATTTCCACCAGATTTGGGACTATAGTTTGAAAGCTGGTTTAAATGAATGTAGCCTTTTTCGTAATGTTAAGCTGCAAAGAGACAAGATGATACAAAAGTCTTGAGCAAGTGGTTCGATTTATTGAATGGATTGATACAAATGTCCAGATAGAAAACAGCCACACAAAACTTTATTGTAACATAAATCGGAAGTGTTCTCACCAAGCGGGCGGGTTGGGTTGCACTTAAACAGAGGCTGCATTGGCCAAAATCACTCGCCCAAAGCTGTGTTACAATACAAAGAAACCACCCAAAACAGCCTTGGGAGTCAAAGGGAGTTATACTTTGTTTCAGCATGAAATGACCACGAAATCTGCACAAAGGTGTGTGTGGACATATAAGCAGCCCTAATGAAAGGATCACAATTTTACAGTACTAAAAGATACTCAAAGCATGAGACATGCTAACCTATGCTTTCTGCTGCTGAGTGATCTTTTGCTTTGCTCTGGCCAAATAACTCCTCAGTTCTGCTTTGGCAAGGTTTCCGACAGAAAACAAACACTCAGAAACATTCAGCAGTCCAGGACATGAGCTGCTGGTAAGCGATTATCCCACAGTTTAAAACAGCATAAGAATCCTCCTCAAGTCAGTTGTACAAATCAATAACATGCCGAAATGTTCCCATCCCCAGCAAAGTATTAAATTTCTCTATTTGCCAGGCCAGAGAGAAGCTGAAAGATCAGCAACGCTTGCTACGGCTCCAATGGCACTCATTTTGTGGAATTTTACTCTGCTTTTTTTGTTTTGTGAGTGTTAACATCCAGACAATGACAACAAACTTGCGAGGATAAAGTGCTCACTGCTGCCATTTGTGGAAACATAAAGCTATCCCATGTTCACATTAAGGGGGAAATTATTCCAGTTGCTCTGGTGATTACCTCGGCTTTCTTACATTTCTATAAAAACAACTTTTTACACAAGGTGACACACACGCATGCCCATGCCGGCGAACGCCTTGAACACGCATTGCACAGAATAAATACATCGATCGGAGACACAGCATACAGGCCCCGGCCCAGCTCCCATTGCTCTTCTCTTCGTCCCTTTTCCAAGGGACAGGATTGCCTTTGCTCTTTCCGTCTCGCTGGATCCAGGCATTTTGCTGCAAAGTCTTTATCTTTGCTCTCTTTTTTTGTCATTGAGACTTACATTATATTTGGGTCGACCAAAGAACCCAAAGAGATTGTATAAATCTTTTTTTCTACAACAATTAAACAGGAATGTTTAATTCTACAAAGAAAGCAAACTCGCTCCATCGTACAACAGGACCAAAATAACAAACCAACCTGTGTACAAGCCAAAACAATACTATTTACAATTTAGACTTGCATCCCAATGCTACCTTTTGAGGGGTCCCTCCCCCAGATAGTTGAATATTAAGCACTCTTTCAGAATAAATTACAGCAAAATTTAAATTCAAATAAATATTTGGAAAAGGACGGGGTCATGTTTGGCTCATTTATATAGATAGATAAATAGATGCATATTCTGCAGCTGTTTGGTACACAATTTAAAAAAATTAAATACTGTGCTCTCAAAAAAGAGCATTTTAACACAAAGCCTGATATTTACAAGAGAGGCAACGGCATGACTTTTTATAAAATATACCATCTCTTCTACATTAGAAGAAATTCTGAAAGAAGAGATAATATGTGGGTGAAATGTCAGTTTGAAAGAAGTGAACGAAGACAGAACAAATAATGCATTTGTATCAAAGTCAGTGAAGGGAAAGTATCTGCACCCAAAAGAAATTGGCAAAGTACTTGAAGGCTGTCGTTCATAACTACAGAGAAGAGGGATTGGGACACTTTTTCGAAGGACAGAAGGTTCCCCTTTCTTAAGGAGGGAAAAAGGAAGACATTACAGTTACAGTAAAGAGATATTTCTTCCAAAAAGAGAACCTGAAATATACTTTTAAAAAACAGAATATTATATAGAAGTCTTAAAGCAACAATAAAATATTTTTCGTCCCCATCCCCCCCTCCCCCAACAAAAACACATGCCTTAAAATGGGGATAAAATTTTTCAACACATACATAAACCCAATGCATGCAAAACTTTTCATGCTGATATGATACTTTAAGTTAATTACCCTGGTACAAACGAAAGGGGGACGTACAGCAGCATTTCCTATCCCTATCAATAGGAACTATCAACATTATTAACACTGATATTGTACAAAAGAGAAATCACTGAAAGAAGGCATTTGTTTAATAAATAAGACCATATATATATAACTTATGCAGCGTAGTGGTCTTTGACACACACACTCCTACTGTGCACATCATAGTAATAAAGTCGATTTTCCAAAGTTGCCTTTGTTTAGATTCTAGAAAGGGTAAAATGTGCCCATATTTTTAAATAAAAAGATTCATAATCCTCCATGGGCTACTCCCCTGTGACACACAGTGCCACAAACATAGTGGTGAAAATACAATATCGAAGCTAATCTACAGACGGCTTGTTTTTGTACAATATATATTATTATTATTTTATACAATCAAGAAAGATACAATTTGTATCAACAAACAAAAGGTCGTTTCTGGTTATTTGAGGCGTTGCGCTCAGCTGCTTTTGAAACCACAAAAGGAAAGGAGTGGGGTAAATGGCCAGAAAGGGGTCCTATTCTGACCGAGGGAGGGATAAGGAAATGGGTGGATCCTGACCTCATCTAAATTCTTACTTTCAGATTTTAATCCCAGTATTTTTTTAAAAAATTAAGCACCATCTAAAGCACATTTCCATGTCCACTCAGTCACCATAAAAAACTGAATGAACAACCAATGCTCAAAAGCAGGCACCATCTTGAGCCCAAGTCTAGAGTCCTTCCAAAACCAATGGAGCAATAGGTTAAAATCCAAACCCAAGTTGCCAGTAATGGCCCACAACAGTGTCAGCAGGATGCTTCTGCAGCAGGGAAACTACTGAATAATGGTGGATAAACCCAAAAGGTCCCACAAAATGGCAATGACATTGTTGACAAGGGCTGAACCTTTCGCTTGGGAAGGATAAGGATGAGTGAATGGTGGATCCAGCCACTGTGGATTCAGAGAGAACCTTCTCCTTGCTCCCAAATCAGATTTAATGCCATCTAGAAATAGTTTTGAAAGGTATGGAGTCCACCCTCCATGTCTGCTGGGATTAGAGGTGCAGGGGCCCCAGGAAAGCGGAGAAACCAGGAATTAAAAAAATGATGTTTTCCTTTGCTAAGGTTCTCTAGGACCTCCAGAGTGATTCAATAGTTAATATCTGCCGGAGGCTGGTAACCACGTTGCTCCAAAGAACCTAGAAATTCCCAGAGGGAACACATATCTGGGAATTTTTAATCCTCCAGATCTACCTCTGGCCAAAGTTGACCATTAAGCCACACTGGAGGACCTAAAGATTCCTAGAGATAACATCTGAATCCAATCTGTAAAAGAATCTCCAGATCTACATCTGGCCAAAGTTGACCATAAAGCCACACTGGAGGACCTAGAGATTCCTAGAGATGCCATCTGAATCAAATCTGTAAATGTGGAGGACAGAGCATACTACCCCTCTGGCTATCATTACTGCCTGGATGAGATGAGAACTGGGCCCATATCTTCCAATAGATAACGCATATATGATATGGACTGGCTGCTGGCCATGGCCCATCTAACCATCTAATCTAAGACCTGTTAATCCCTGTATTCAAACTTCCTTGGAAATATTCCTCTGACTCAACCAGAGATGGGCCATCAGTCATTTGGAGCATTGGTGCAACCGTTCAAGGAAAGGACCCAAGTCCTCCGTTTTGTGGTTTTTCTCCTCCCCCCCCCCCACCCAAAAAGGATCCAAAAACAACCCGAAAGCAGCTGGCGAGCCCTGACCAAAACGCCAGAAACAACCCTGACTGCAGCCTCACATTCCGTGTGTTTCAAAGTAAGAAACATTAGGCAGTGTCACACCTTCTCATGAAGAGACCAAAGGCCGGGAGACCGGGCCTTCTCGACTTTCATGAAAAAAAACTACAGTAGAAGTCAACAAGTCCTAGCTCGAGACGTGCCGAGTTAGTAGTAGTGGTTCAAAATGTTGAAATACACATTTGGATTTAAAAAGGGCGTCCCGTCAGTGCAGCTTGTGTTCTATTTAAAAAAGAAGAAAAACATGGCAGCTGCCACCACCAGAGACACCTCTTGCGGGAGACATTGGACTGCAGAGTTGCCTATCCTGAGCCCAAAAGGCCCATTGCACAAACACTGCAACTCGCAGAAGCAGACGCACCCCTTTGCATGGTCAGAGTGCAAATACAAAAACCAACCCAATCCTTCAGCATCCCTTTTGACCTGCCCTTCACTATCAAATAAATCTGGCTCTATTTATACCTGACTTTGTTGAATTCTATATTCACACCAACTCAGAAAAAAGGAGGAACCAGATCGGAGACACAACATGCTGCTGTTGACCTGAAATGAACCCATCTATAAAGCTCATAAATACTAATGCTTTTCAAGCATTCCATTTTTCACTGGCGTTCCTTTCTTCAAAGAGTATTAAGTCCATTTTCTCCCTTATTTGAGCATTTCTTTTACCTACAAAAGGACATTTACACAGCAAGTGGCTTCCCTTCACAATGAGGCCACGCAAAGTGTGCCAATCTGTGGATGCTATTAAGAAGAGCGGCCCAAGCTTCCCTTCATAAAGGATGTTTTAAGTGCAGAGAGCTTATCTGACTGGGGCAACGTGTCCATACTGAAAACTATACTCTGACACATGCAATATAATTGCTAACAGTTTTGAAGGACCTGTTTTTAGACAAATCAACACATGACCTTTGGGATTCAATAAGTGATACATCCATGCATAAGGTCTGCGCTGCCTGTTAAAATGCCTTTTTTTAAAAAAAGAACAGTTTTAAAAATCCTTAAATACTCGTGTTTGTAATATAACCTGCATCACATGTCTTAAATAATTGCGACAATATACAGAGTCATATATCACCATTAGAAACTATTTACAGTTGCAGAATTATCATAGGGATCTGCACAGGGGTCATTTATCAATCATTTATCTTTGCACATTTAAAGGGGTGATGTTTAGCGGCCCGTTCTCAATTTAGCCACAATCATGGCGGCCAACTGCTGTGCATCAGTCATGTGAGGGTTCTTCTCCATGACAGAAAGGACAACGCCAGCTGGGAATATATTGCAGAGGTTCTTATACGTCTGATACTGATGTTCGGGGATGATATGGGGCTCCTGCAGCTCCCCGCAGACCCCAACCCACGGGTTGCGCCAGAGCTGCTCCATCTTCTCAGGCATGCTCCTCACCATCACAGGCTCGTAGCATGGCTGCATGAGGTTGCTGCTCAGAGGGTAGGAATGGTAAGCATAAGTGTCCGTGGGACAGGGCAGTGGGTCCCAGCTGGCGTGCTGTTCCCGGCACAAGGGCGGCCGCTTCTGCCGGGCAGGATTGCTCTCGTACAGCCGCGAGTCGGAAATGCTGTCCATCCTCGTCATAACAAGGGCACGGCTCGGCTGAGTGGTGGCCGACGGGTAGACGTTTGGAGGTGTGGGGTAGTCCCCCGGACAACTGGACCGTGCCCCAACGACCGGATGTTGGACGTGGAGTGCCAAATGGGAGGCTGAGTGCTTGTGGAGAGGGCGTTTGGACCCTTCTGTGCCATAGCTCTGGACTCTCGTCAAGGCCTCGTGATATCCCTGAGAAAAGGGCGGGAGGCGGTTTTGGGGTGGGAGGCGAGCCTTGACGTTGTCCTCGGGGCTTGCATCTCCCACCCCGAGGTAAAGGTCGCCATACGAAGAGTAAGGATCACTGGTCGTATGGCTTAGGCAAGTATCAGGACACGGGCTTGAATTTCTGGAGTATAAACCTTGGTCGACCTCCGCCCCGTAATAATCCGTGTTGTGCATGCTGCTGATACTCAAATTGGAAAAGTCGCTGAGCATAGAATAATAGCCATGGTCTCCCAAAGACTCGTATTTTGGGTACTGATCCGAATAATTGATGGAAGCACCATGGCTATTGGTGACCAGAATTGGAGGATACTGCACACTGGACATATGCTCCAGGGAGGACTTTTGATGCGCAAAGTGAGATGAACCTGGTACGGGGCTACTCGCCGATCGTGTGTTCAAAGCCCCAGCTGCATGGCTTTTGGAAGCCGGGATGATTGGGACGCTCAACGCTGAAACGAGGGAAGGGACGGAGTTGGCCTCAGACTTCCGGGCCATTGACAGCCGGTCCTCGGGTTCCACGGCCACAGACCGGATGCTTGGGTCAGACTGACGTTTCGGAGCAATGCGCTTAACTTCCGAGGCAAGGTCCCCTTTGGAGAGTACTAATCCCGTGCCGCATTTTGCTAGTGCTCCTTCACTCATGGTTTTTACAGCAGATAGTTTGGCACTGATGCGAAGCTCGTCTGCTACAGATCTCAGTGGCTGGTTTGCACGTTCTGGGTGGTAATATTTACACTTGTGTCCATAGGTGCATTTTTTGCCTAATGGAGAAAAGACAACATTTCAGATAGGCATGATCTTTCTAAAAGTGGTACGTAAACTGTTGAGGTTAAGGTTCAAATCTCTGCTCAGCTGTAGGTAGATAAAGGTAAAAGTTTCCCCCTGACATTTTGTCTAGTCGTGTCCAACTCTGGGGGTGGTGCTCATCTCCATATCTAAGCTGAAAAGCTGGCATTGTCCATAGACACCTCCAAGGTCATGTGGTTGGCATGACTGCATGGAGCATCGTTACCTTCCTGCCAAGGCAGTATCTACTGATCTACTCACATTTACATGTTTTCGAACTGCTGGGTTGGCAGAAGCTGGGTATAACAGCGGAAGCTCACCCACTCCCCGGATTCGAACCGTCAACCTTTCAGTCAGCAAGTTCAGGAGCTCAGTGGTTTAACCTGCTGTGCCACCAGTTCAGCCATAGAAACCCCATATATTGAAATCCAACACCCTTAAAGGAAAACAGTGGCAAACCCTCTCAGAACAAACTCTGCTACAAAAACACAACAGGTAATAATAATAATAATAATAATAATAATAATAATAATAATAATACTTTATTTATACCCCGCCACCATCTCCCCAAGGGACTCGGAGCGGCTTACATGAGGCCAAGCCCAACAGTACATCAATAAACAAAAGCAATAAACACAAACAATAAATACAATACAATTAATATAAATCACATATAAACAATAAACAGTAACACACAAGGATTTAAAAACCTATGGCCGGGCCAAATGTAATAGTTTAAAAATTAAAAAATAAACGCTGGGCATGAACAAGGTAGAATATAAAGTTTTCAAAGAGAGATGAGGGAACGCAGTCAATCCTAAACCAGTAGTAAAGTGCATTCTGAGGGCATATTGCTGAGAATTTTCCTTATTCCGGGAAGGCACACTGGAACAGCCACATTTTCAGGCTCCTCCTAAAGACTGCCAGAGTTGGGGCATGCCTGATGTCCTTGGGAAGTGAGTTCCAGAGTAGGGGGGCCACTACCAAGAAGGCCCTCTCCCTCGTCCCCACCAATCGCGCCTGCGAAGGAGGTGGGAGTGCGAGAACCTGGTACAGGGCTACTGGAAACAACTTGGAGACACATCATTAATAACATTTCTTAACTTTTCTTCAAATTAATGAAAAGCCACACTCACCATAAGGACATGGCTGCTTCTTATGTTCGGGAATAACAGGCTTCTTCCTTAGGAAGTTTTCAAGGCTAGGGCCATGGCGCCCTAGTGGGTCATCAGGTGGCATAAACCTGGAAAACACAAGGAAATGTTACCTTTCGATGTATCTAAAAGTATAGAGAAGCAAGAATGCTTGGGAGAGGGGGGGGGGTCTTTTGATTCCTGCCACATCTATGAGCTCAGAACAGGCAACCATTGTGATCAGGTTCCTTTGTGAGAAGAAAGGCTAAAGTGGGGAGGCTGCTGTAGAGATAAATATAATGGAGGAGATTGCAGGCCTTTCTCATCTTAAGATGAAGCTGGAAGGAACAATGACATTGTAGACAAAACACTGAACGCTTGAGTGCTAGAACAACATTAAGGAGTTTTATTATACACTTCTAAAGAACACGCTAAGGACCTACTTGTCGTTGACAAAAGAATACATCAGCAGCCGTTCCTCTATGAATTTCTTCCATTCTGGCTTCTCATTTTGGAGGTCTCGGTAATTGTCATTGGACACGATGATGCCGTCAGAGTCGTAAGCCAGCTTCACTATGAAGCGGTCATCGTAGCAGACCACCCTCCGCCCCTGAACCCTCCGCGAAGGAGTGAAGACCAGGATTTTTTCCTTCTCCAGCTTGTGCAGAATTTCTTGATCTGCAGAAAACAGGACAGCTTAAGAACCTGTGAAAAACCAGGGTGCTCAGATGGGTCAAAACATGATCACAGCACTGTAACTGGAATATTTTCAGTTGTCAAAGCTTCTCAGTGGCATTCAAGGATTGCTGGGATATTTTGCACAAAATGAGCATAATCCATGGTGTCTCTGGTTCACAATGCAGAGATCACTGTTCAGCTTGGCTTTGCTTATCCTTCCACTTCTTCATAATTTGCAAGAGGCTGAGATGATAAATGGTACCATAACTATGAATCCTGTTGTGCTAGATTTCCCCTTTAGGCAGTTTTGTACTACAGCTTCCAACACCCCACAAACTCTAACACTTTTGTATTTGGGCTCTTTGTAATACTTGTAATGCAATTTCACAGCCATTCTCCACTCTATCCCAGATTGTGGCCCAGTCTAGAAAACAAAGTTCCTCAAGTGCTGTTCTATAAATGTGAGGTGAGATTATGACATCATTGTTTATAAAGCTACTGTCCTCCCAACCCTGCTATATGCCTGTGAGACATGGACTGTCTACAGACGTCACATGCAACTCCTAGAATGATTCCATCAGTGCTGCCTCTGGAAAATCCTGCAAATCTCTTGGAAAGACAAGTGGACAAATGTCAGCGTGCTGGAAGAAGCAAAGACCACCAGCACTGAAGTGATGGTCCTCCGCCATCAACTCTGCTGGACCGGCCACGTTGTCCGGATGCCCAACCACCATCTCCCAAAGCAGTTGCTCTACTCTGAACTCAAGAACGGAAAACGGAATATTGGAGAGCAGGAAAAGAGATTTAAAGATGGGCTCAAAGCCAATCTTAGAAACTGTGGCATAGAGACTGGGAACTGGGAAGCCCTGGCCCTTGAGCGCTCCAGCTGGAGGTCAGCTGTGACCAGCAGTGCTGCAGAATTTGAAGAGGCACTAATGGAGGGCGAAAGGAAGTCACGTCAAGCCAACCCTAACTGGGACCGCCTTCCACCTGGAAACCAATGCCCTCGCTGCGGGAGAAGATGCAGATCAAGAATAGGGCTCCACAGCCACCTACGGATCCACCGCACATTGCACACTGACCTTGGAGGACCACAATCCTCGGACAACGAGGGATCGCCTAAGTAAGTAAGTAAGTATGATATCACCAGAAATGATTTGCAGTTTCTCAAGTCACTCCTGACACGAAAAAAATGACATCATTGCATGCTTTTGTTTAAACAAAAAAAAATGGCCCACAGAAATAAAAACACGCCACTTACTGCAAGGCAAAACTGCCTCCTGGCAAAAATCCAAAATATGCGCTCATGCACCTGCTATCTGAAATGGGGAAATCCACAAACAGGCCTGCCTAGCCTGGGCTTTAGCCTCTGGTTAATATGCAACAGATGCTTTTTCTACTTCAAAGCCCTTTCCTCTTACTTTTGTCATAAAGGGAGTGTACGAAAATGGCGCTCTCGAGGCAGCCTCAGACAGTACAAGGACTATAGGCCCATGTGACTGCAGGTTTGACCATTGCCATTGATAAGAGAGCCAAGAGGATGGATCATGCTTCATTTGCTATTCATTCATTCATGAATGCCAAATCAGAATTCTCAGCAATTCTTATAGTTCCACACAAAGACATAATCCAGCATATCAAACCAGCCCCCGGTGGCGCTGTGGCTTAAGCCCTTGTGCCAGCAGGACTGCTGACTAACAGGTCAGTGATTCGAATCTGGGGAGAGCGAGTTGAGCTCCCTCTGTCAGTTCAAGCTCCCCATGTGGGAACGTGAGAGAAGCCTCCCACAAGGATGATAAAACACCAAAAATGTGGGCGTCCCCTGGGCAACGTCCTTGCAGACAGCCAATTCTCTGACACCAGAAGTGACTTGCACTTTCTCAAATCACTCCTGACACGGAAAAAAAAATCAAACTACTTCAGCATAATTTTCTATAGAGAGTGCCTTCCAACATCTGTGTCCATTATAGTACAACATCCTCATCTTGGAAATGGCTTCTGTTTTACCAAGAAGAGAAAGCCAACCTTCATCTGCATCACTACCTGTAATGGGTGCATCCGGCCGTGACTGCTCCTTCCTCCACGTTGGCACAAACACCGTAATGTCCTTATGGCCCTTCTCCAGAAACCAGTCGACAGCAAGTTGAATCCCACGACAGGAAAAGCCTTCCTTATTCCCATGGCTGAAAAACAGAAAAAAAGCCATGTGGTGTGTGCTGGTTTTTACCACTATGCCATATACCTGAAAAAACTAGTGAGCTACATGGCCTGGGCTTAGACTTGCTCAGTGAACCCCAGTCAGTCTTTGGCCCAATTCTGTTTTCACAGTAAACCTTTTGTTCATTCCTGCGTGTAATACGAGCTGCTAAGCAAAGCAGAGACCTTTCCTTTGCCGTTTGTTAAGCAACATGTCAGAACTTGCAATCTGGGACTTGCCTCACTAAAGGTTTCGTTGTTAAAATATTTACATTCTGCCCTATAGCATATAATCACATTCATTTAAAGCAGGAGCCTCCGGTGGCGCAAGGGGTTAAACCCTTGTGCCAGCAATAGGTCAGCAGTTCGAATCTGGGGAGATTGGGTTGAGCTCCCTCTGTCAGCTCCAGCTCCCCGTGTGGGGACATGAGAGAAGCCTCCAACAAGCATGGTAAAACATCGATCATCCGGATGTCCCCTGGGCAACATCTTTGCAGACGGCCAATTCTCTCACACCAGAAACGACTTGCAGTTTCTCAAGTCGCTCCCGACACACAAAAAAGCAGGCGTGGGCTTTGGACTTAAACTCCAGGTTTAAGTCCAAAGCACTCAAGGTGCTTTGGACTTAAACTCCCACAATTCCTAACACAGTTGGCTGTTAGTTGTATTTCTTAACAGTGATTAAAATATTTGTATTTCTTAACAGTGATTCAAAGAACAGTGGCATGGGCGTATATCAAGCTAAATTTAAGTAAGCACACAGGCAGCAGAATGGCTGCCTTCCCAAAAGTATTCTACTATTGCCAGGTTACCTCATTGCTACGTTGCTGCCATCAATGACGATTGGCCTCAAATTGTCAGTGCTGTCCACCACTTCGTCTTCCAAAGAGAGCTCAGGGCTGGCCGTCTCCTTTGGGCCAGGACCAGCAGGTCCAGAGGTGCTCCCGGTACTCACTTGCCCTTCATTCTCAGTCTTGTTGCCAAGCCGCACAAGCTCAGCCAAAATGTCATTGATGAGAGCGTCCGCCCCCAGCTTGTTCAACACAGCTTGGATCTGATCCCCAGCATAGCCCAGTTTTACAGCAAAATCGATTTTGGCTTGGTATTCTTTGTTCAGGCTCGTTTTGTTCTCCTCCAGCTTCAAATCCTGGAGGAGGCTGCTCTGTGAGAAACTGGGGCGGTCCAAGCAAGGGGAGCGGCAGAGCTGCCGGTGAGGCTTATGGGAAATCTCCTTCTCCCGCCACTGTGGGTTGCTGCCACTGTTCCTGGGAGGTGGCGGTTGCTGCTCTGGCTCGCTCTCGGAGCTTGTCCACTCCTCCGATTCTGGGCTGCAATCCCCGCCATCTTGGTCCGCCGCCCTCTCTTCTTGGGAATGCCGCTTCTCCATTTTCAGCTTTTCCACCATAGACCAGGCCGTCATCACGGTCACCTTCTGACCAGTGATCCCCAAGCGCCACTCACTGCCAAGGCTGCCCAGAGTTTGCCCTCCACCGCACCATTGTGTTAACTACTTGCCAATCTCTGACATGCCCATATCCAACCAGATGGTCCTTGAAAGCCTGGGAGACAAAATATACAACATGCTCAATTAGGTTTTATGAACAAGTATGAAGTGATTTATTTATTTGCTGTACTTATACCCTGCCATAGGGGACCCAGGACAGCTTACATATATATAGGCAACCATTTGATGCCATGTAAACATATATACATAGTAAAATAAGCATATGCATTAAAACAGCTATTAAAACATATCAAAACTTAAAACATTTATTAAAATCACGTTATCCAAAATCATAATCCATGGCCATTTACGAAACACATTTTATTTAATTTGATACTTCTTGCTATTACTTTGAGTCATAACTAGTTTAATTTCTTGGTCCCCACTCCCCACACTGACTGGATTTAAGACGGTGACAGCAATTATACTTATGGCACCCACACGTTAAATTCAACGTTGAAGTTAATGCGCTGTCGGATAGCTGCCTGTCACAACAGCAGTTGTGAATTGGAAACAGCTTCCCCAGTGCACAGAGGTTTCAACCACTGAAGGAACATTTGCAAGAGAACAGTGTAATCCTACCCAACCTATTCACACATAAGTAGCAGCAATAGGAAGGAGACTTATAGGCCTCCTATAAGCAAAGGAGGCCCAAAATCTCACTCTCTGCAGGTGGAAGAACTGTCTCATAGCCATTACAGCTAACATTAACACAAGTGACTTTATGTTTTATGTCTGTAGGTTGCTGTTACCCAGAGTGGTGGTCCCCAGATTAGAGCATGTCCACAGAGCTATCTAAATTGCCAGGAGAGGGGGGGGGGGGGATCAAAAACTGAAGCTATTCCAAAATTCATGAAAATTGTGAGAAAAGGTTTTGCAATCTGGAACTGATCGTACAATGGTACAGACAGAGCATTTGCTACTTATCCAACCTTCGCTCATCCAACCTTCTGTATTATCCAATGCAGTCTACCTCATGCCCGGATCCACAACTGTTTCAATACATTGCGATGTTTTGGTGCTAAATTCGTAAATGGAGTAATTACTACATAACATTACTGTGTATTAAACTGCTTTTTCTGTCAATTTGTCGTAAAGCATGATGTTTTGGTGCTTAATTTGTAAAATTATAACATAATTTGACGTTTAATCCATCCATATTACCTAACATTTTTGCTTATCCAACGTTCTGCCACCCGGTTTATGTTGGATAAGAAAGACTATTGTAATACTAGTGCTCTTACTCAATGAAAAAGAAAGTGAAAACATGGCTTCTGAATAGGATAATCCTTCCTTTAGCAATCCATGCAAATTATGCAAATGATGAAGGGGAATTCTGATCTTAGAAAACACACTTCTGTTTGCTCAAAGTTAAAGAAGCCAAGGGCTTTGTTCCACCTCTATAGCTGTGAATACATACCATGCAGACATTCACCTCCTGACAGCAAATATGATGGGAAGGAAGGAAGGATACAGAAAGGTGAGGGGGGGTGGGGAGATTAATTAAGTAGTATAGATGGAAGCCTCTAGGAAATAACACAAACTTTTCAACATCTGTGGGATACAACAGAAACCTTCAGGAGGGCTTTTCGCATCTCAATGCCGTGAGGGGTTTCACAGACTGGAGCAGCCCTCTTATGACAAGAGATGGTGCTTCACATCTTGGTTTCTTCCTGTGGAAATCTGGGAACTTCTACGTACAGTATCCCAAATTCTTCACACTTGCTCTTGCAGGATTTCTCATGCAATTTTCACTACACGCAAGCACACACTCAATGCCCAACAGTTTCATGTAACTTCAGCACAGAGTCCTGGTAACAGTTTTAATATCTCTTAAAAGAGACACTATTTTCCAAAAGTTTCAGCAAGTATCATACAGTGTTCTTCACTCCAGCAACCATCTTCTGCATCCTTTTCTTTAAAAAGCTGATATAGGATAATTGCCATATTAACATATGGATATGTGAAACCAGATATTGATATGTGAAAACGTCTAGAGAGGCATCTTTTGTCAATAAATAAAACATTGACACCAATCCCAAGGATCATTCTGCATTTTGCACACTAGGCTATTCATTGGAGTGTTTACTATTACCTCCAAAAAGGATTTTGAGTGGGAAAGATTATATCTTATCTGCACCCCTCACTCTGATAAATATGGAGCTCCCTAGTGGCGCAATGGATTACCCTTGTGCCAGCAGGACTGAAGACCGACAGGTCGGCTTTTCGAATCCAGGGAGAACATAGATGAGCTTCCTCTGTCAGCTCAAGCTTCCCATGGAGGTAAATGAGAGAAGCCTCCCACAAGGATGGTAAAACACCAAAAACATCCGGGCAGCCCCTGGGCAATATCCTTGTAGACAGCCAATTCTCTCACACCAGAAGCGACTTGCAGTTTCTTAAGTCGCTCCTGATACACACACACACACACAAACTCTGATAAATATGATCTCGGATACATTTGCAAAACTTATCCATTTTCATCTTACACACATAACCTGTGCAAGAAGTCACTGTGCACTGTGTCAAGTACACAAAGTGTGAGCGATTAGCAACCAATTAAAAAATCAGTACTCAAGCAATAGGAGACAACTCAGAAGTAAACTTAATCTTACTAAACATTAGTGCATACAAATTCTTAAAGAATTTCTAATTCAGCAATTATTTTCCTTTTTTCCAATGTATGCTTATAGTCTCTAACAAAGCAACAAACTAATGAGAAATATAAACAATGAATTGTTTGCAACGCCCATGTTTAAGTAAGCAACGATGTAATCAAAGTTTTATGTTTCTACTGGGAAACTTTACAACTATCCTCATTTTTTATAAAGTACAAGAATTTGTGTATCCAAAAGTACAGACTGCTTCTTACATTGAATGGAAAAACATTACTAAGTTTGTAGCAACCTCCAGAGGTGCATGTAACACTCTGTGGCCTGCTGAGCCACTTTCCTGATCTGCTTTCATCCATATAATGTCCCATTTCTCTCTATAGGCAATACAAGCACCTAGACGTAAAACCAACTGAAACAGTTTGTCTTTGGCAAGATTCAAGGGTTCTTTCTCCACTGCAAGTTGGGTGCCTGTAAGGTGATTATTAGAGCCAACTTCACACACATGTGGTCTTATTTCTTCAGTATTAAAACTTGATGTTGATTTTCTATATTTAACTTTAGGTCACTTTAACACTTCTGGTCTGCTTCCATTTTACAGGCCAGCAAGCTCCATGCAACTAAGAAATTTAACTCAAACACTTCCTGGAGACTGCTGCCTTTTCAAATGCAGGATCATGAATAAGAGAGACTTCCAAATGTGTCACAAATCCCAAATTTTAAAAGCTAACTAGGGGAGGAGGGGGAAGAAACCACCTCTGAGCCCTCTGCCATTCCGATTCATTCACACTGGCATACTCACTTCCAATTGCCATTACAGAAAGCAGCTCAGCTGTTCTCCACGCTGGTAGTAAAGGAGGCGAGCTCTCTGCCAGCCCGGAGGAGCCTGCATACAGGGGGTTTTCTGTTCCATGGGTGCATTACGAAAGCCGTTCTCTGCAGAAACACACCCACTTCCATGACTCACTGGAGTTTCTTGCCTTTTCGGCTTCTGCATTCTTTTTTTAACGCAACTGTCGACGGGTTGAAAAAGCTATTAAGAAAATTCAGCTGTGTCACTTTTCCATTTAAAGCCGGTGGAGGGTGGGGGAGCTTCAGTCATGTGAGAATCGTGACTACCTCTAAATTAATGTTTATGTGGAATTAATTGTGGTGTGTATGATTTTAAGAAAGAAAGGGAGAGACAGAGAGGTAGGCCCTTACACTATTAAAGGTATGTACAGAAGCTGTGGGATTGCAGCATTGAGTGCTACCATTCAGGACCCCAACAATACTATTCCATTCTTGCCCCCTCCTGCTTTTCTGGTTTTCACTTTGTATCTCTGCTTAGCCATGCTCTGTTCTAGAGGGCAATTTTGTGCAGAGGATGTATCCCTTCTTAAGAATGTTTTCCACACACATCCCAAAGATTGTGTTGTTGAGCTTCCTGTACATTTTGGGCTTACCCTAAGACCTCAGTATTTCCAGCGGTTTTCTGGCTGTATAAACAACCATACAGGAATCGGGGCATTACAAAAAGAGCACCAATTCAATCAAGTCGATGTCTGGTCCATGCTTTATTTATTTATTTATTTATTTATTTATTTCAAAGTTTTCTATACCGAACTTCTCAACCTCTTTGAGGGACTCAGCCTGGTTTCCAACCATAAAAACACATACAATCATTAAAATATCATATATCACAATTACAGTAACAGATTTAAAATAACACTATATATAAAACTACGGTGGTCAGTCGTCGTATTAAAATCAAATATATATCATCTTCCATCCAGAATCCTAGGTTGTTGTCTCATTCATCGAAAGCCTGTCTCCACAGCCACGTCTTCACCCGTTTCCTAAATGTCAGGATAGACGGGGCGGTTCTGACCTCCGGGGGGAAAGAGTTCAAGAGTCGCGGGGCCACCACCGAGAAGGCCCTGTCCCTCGTCCCCACCAGACGCGCTTGCGAGGCCGGTGGGACCGAGAGCAGGGCCTCTCCAGACGATCTTAATAATCTTGATGGTTCATAGGGGAGAATACGTTCGGAGAGGTAAAGAGGGCCGGATCATTTAGGGCTTTAGCTGTCACCTGCTCGAAGACTGCCCAATCTCCTTGAGTGCTATATGCAATGTAAGAATGGTGGATGGTATAAGAATGCACTACGTACACATTTTCAGTCACAGAATCATAGAGTTGGAAGAGGTCTCGTGGGCCATCCAGTCCAACTCCCTGCCAAGAAGCAGGAAAATTTCATTCAAAGCAGCCCTGACAGATGGCCATCCAGCCTCTGTTTAAAAGCTTCCAAAGAAGGAGCCTCCACCACACTCCAGGGCAGAGAGTTTCACTGCTGAACAGCTCTCAGGAAATTCTTCTTAATGTTCAGGTGAAATCTCCTTTCCTGTAGTTGGAAGCCATTGTTCCATGTCCTAGTCTCCAGGGCAGAAGAATACAAGCTTGTTCCCTCCTCCCTATGACTTTCCCTCACATATTGATCCATGGCCCTCATCATGTATCCTCTCAGCCTTCTCTTCTGCAGCTCTTTAAGCCACTCCTCATAGGGCTTGTTCTCCAGACCTTTGATCATTTAAGCTGCCTTCCTCTGGACACATTCCAACTCGTCAACATCTCCTTTCAATTGCGGTGCCCAGAATTGGACAGAGTGTGATTCCAGGCGTGGTCTGACCAAGGCAGAATAGAGGGGAAGCATGACTTCACTGGACCTAGGCACTAGGCTCCTATTTATGCAGGCCAAAATCCTATTGGCTTTTTTGCCGTTGCATGAAATTGTTGGCTCATGTTTAACTTGTCAAGTTGGTTGACCTTCTCATGGTCTTGGAACTTCATTCAATGGCTGATTGTGTTTCCCTCAGGAGTCTACTCCAAATTTGGACACTGAAAAAATGGATGGAAGGAGTTCCATATTTAGAGAGAGCTCCAGTGTTCAAGAGGGAGTTCATTATTTTGGGTTGTTCTCCAATGTCCCAGGGCATGCAACCTAGGCTGAGTGCTCTTTGTGGGAGAGGGTCAGTCTTTGTGCTCTTATATAGCTCTAAGGCTAATAGCATCCTGCCACTGAGTTCTAACAAGAAGGAAAATGCCATTACCACATCCCATGGAGTCCTGGAACCTGTAGCTTGGTGGGGCACACAAGCTCTCCAGCAGAACATTCAAAATGCCACCGCTCCAAACTGCAAATTCTAGGATACCTTAGAATAGTACTATCAAAGTTGAGTAGAATCACAACACACGAGTAGTATGAAGGCACTCCCAGTTTACAGGAGAAATCCTGACTACTGCAAGATTGTCTAGTTCAGCCTCTGAATAACAGAATATTCTCAGCAATTGCTCAGTATTGCTATATGGTATAGAGCAGAGTCCAGCCTGCCTTGAACAAAATATTATCTGGAACACATTTTCTGTTCTTCAAGCTTGTCAGGACCAATTTATGCCAGTGGGCTACAAGAAAGGACAAGGAGTTCTAACCTTTTATGTTCCAGACTCTTGCCCAGCATCATCAGAGACAGAGCAAACATTTTATAAGCTGGGCTTTGCCCACGACATCACACTAAGCCAAACACATCCTTCCTCATGTATAACCGAGAAATAGGTTAGAGCTGTTTGTTCACTTGTTTTTGTCACCTGCTGTAGATAATGCAATGCAACATTTCAGAACATTAAACCTTTGTACCATAAGGTAATCTCTCTCATATAAAACATATTCTGAGTAATAATCTAACAAGGGAGAAACACTACAGCCTCCTGGTTTGGAACATGAAAATATGTTATCACTCAGATGGGAAAACTTTGCACTACAGCTTTAAGTGTTTAAGCCTCTGATGCCCATTGCTAGGCAACCAGGCATCCTTACCTAAACACGGCGTTTCAGCAGAGTCACGACTGACTGGCGGGGCTGATAATGCAATTCAGGGAGAACATGTATTTGTGAGGTACTTGAATTCTACTCACATAGTGCTGTATTTGAAGTATCAATACACCTTCTACACAGTAAAATCAAAAGAAAAAGGCTTCCCTAGTAATTACATTCTACAAGGTTATAATATGCTGAAAAATAATAATTTTTCAATTGTACGTGTTCAACTCCAGCTTTTAAAAGTATTAAGGCATAAAGGCGGCTAAATCACGATATACAACACGGCTTTATCCTCATAAAGCCAGACAATGGATTAAGAATAACTTTCAAAGAGGACGCTCGATTTAGATGGAGGCGATGCTTATGAAAAGGTTCTTCAAGCTGCATTGAACATTCAGGATCCAGTGAAATCAATAAGAGTGCTCTGCTGTTCCAGGTTCCAAGAAGCCTATTTCTGTTCCCAAAATAACTAATGGCAACGAAAATAATATGAATAGAAATAGAAATTCTTGTGCAGCAAGGAACTTTGCTCTATGAGGTGGTGATAATGAGCAGACCCATGCTATTACACATCTTCAGGGACACAGGTCAAATATCCAGCCTTGAATTGGCAAAAGAATAGACCGACAGGGTCCTGCTATACAAGCTTTGTCCTTAAGCTGCACACCTCCTCCTTCAAGCCACTCCAAAACAGTGTGGACATCAAGAAACCTCTGTTTCATAGCACTGAAGGCCTCATCACACTAGAGAAAAAATCTGGTTTCTGTTTCCTGCAGAATTCTGGGGTTTGTAGTATAGGGAGGAGCCTTTAACAGCCTCACTAAACTACAAACCCCAGAATTCTGCAGGAGGCAGAAACCAGATTTTAAGTGGATTTTTTTCTCTAGTGTGATAAAGTGGAGTTTCAGTTCACTCTCCCGTATCCTGCCTCTTGCCCAATCCAGGCAACGGTTCAAAATCTCTGTATCATTTCCCTGACTCAGAGAAGCGTGTCATTGACATATTGATCATATTATTAATACTAAATCTGAAGATTACATCATCTAGTGACCTCATGGAAGACAACAATGAATCTTACAGGAATCTACCGCACATGTGCGCTGGAGTCAGGCAAAAATCTCCCCACAGCAAGGATAGTGTATTACCAAACTCCCTGACCCATAGAATCAGTGAAAGAAGCTCAGTGGGACACCAAGAAATTCAACCTAGGCAGAGGCTGTGGTATGAACTCCCCAGTGATTCCTATTCAGCCCTACAAGAACTGGGGTCAATAGCAACAGATTACACCTTCTGCATAATGACATCTCAGGGAGGGGGATTAAAATATACATTATGACTCCCATATCCACAAGGGATGTACTTCTGGACTTTGCATGGATACATCAAGCCACAGATAACAGCAAACTATTCTTTTCTATGGGACAAATTATGATAGTGAGAAAGGATGTAACTTGTACAAGAGGCCCTAAATTAATAAGTGAAATACAGACAAGTGAAACCACATATATTATTTCTGTGGATACAGGGGTCATACTACACTGCCTACTTCTCAGTGAAAAATAGATAAGTTAATCCAACCAGTAGAATGATCCTCCAGCACATTTCAAATGAATTCATTACCTTCCTACCAGCTTTCTTCACTGCCCAACTTTCACAACCATACATAAAAATGGGAAATATGGTGGTATGGATAATCCCAACCATATATTCAGTATATATCTTTATAGAGGAACTGATCTAGTTCCTTCATAGTGGCCCTTCCAAGTCCTCATCCTGATTTCCTATCTCTATTCTGGTCAATGACTGAGCTGAAGTATGCAAAATTTTGAATTATTTCAATGTCTTCATTGTCTACTTTGAAGTTGACATGAATCATCCATGGTCATTGTTTGTTTTCTTAATGTTTGACTGTAAACCTGCCTAGACTATACCTAAGGATATTTCACAGTTGATACTGCAACCTTTCTTGATTCTTTATTTTCTTGACCTATTTTGTGCCATTTAGACAAAAATTACCAGAAGTAAACCAGTCTAATCCAAACACATAAGACACTGTAGGATTTTTTTGAGGGCGTATTTTAATCCCCTGTTTATTTATTTTTTTATAGAAGACTGTGTGCTTCCATGAATTATACTGTGAATTGTTGAGAATTCAGATTAAATAGCCAACTACCACTTTTTTAAGGGCTGCTTTTAGGCACTTGTATTCCAGTCTATCTAAGACACATGTCTCCTTCAGTAGGTCTAAAGTAGTCCTTGTAAATCATTTGGTTGTTCTTGACTTTTCCATCAACTCTGCTTCTTGTTGTCCCACAACCACATCCACAACAAAACAAACTATTAAGTTAGCTCTACTTTGTTAGAACTGCAGAACAAAAGACAAAAAATTGGTTATTGTTTCAAAGGTTACAAAAATGCACCAT